CTCGTAGCAACATATTTAAGTGTATTAATTAGTAAACTTTTAATCTTAATATTTACTCATGTAAAATAAATTAATACAACGTATTGATAAATTAATTAATTAATTGGGGTCGTGTGGTCTCGGCATAGAACAGACCACCCCTTCATTTTCCGTCATTGTCGTAAGAGGCGATTAAAAGAGGGCAAGGGATGGGCAGCACTGTTCTTCTTAAAATATCTCCAAAGTCTAACTGCGGTTTCTAATCCGCCTGCCAAGCGTGGCAACTACTGTCAAAATCCCTTTAATAAGGAGGCTTCTATTCAGCAGTGGATAGTTAAAGGCTGATATGATTATAATGATAATTGTATAATTACGTACTTAATTTTGGTGTCAATAAATCAATTATTATTAATTATAAAAATATATTATAGGCAATTAATGTTTTTACATAAAATATGGATGAAAGAAGAAAATTATGCCTATTATATACCAATCAAATTTCAACTGTAAATGATGTAGCCATTTAGTAAGTAATTAAAACAAATAAATGGTCAAACATCAGTTTTGAAGAAGAGGAACTTCGACAATATTATGCCATAAAGCAAATAATAACGCAAAGGTAATAATGTTTGACAATAAATGGATATTCAGCCTTTAAATAAAACAAAATATTATTGAAAATCTTGTAAAATAAAAAATTCAGGATTAAGTCTTCTTATCTCTAAAATATCCTTAGAAACAATTAAAGAAATAATTTTATCGTTCATTTACATTTACTGATTTTATATTTACCTCCTAAAATTATATAAAACCATACACCAGTGTAAGAGAAGAGAAAGAAAACTCTAAATAAAACTCTATATTAGGCAGCTGATCTCTGATCTGATCAGCAAAATAATAATAGTCTAAATATTTCTTTTAAAAAGAGAGAATTGTTTCCAGTAATGGGATATTAACGAGTAGTAGAAAATGTATAATATAAACTATTATATATTCATATGGTCTATAAGAGCAAGTATGCATAAATCACGCACATTTTGCACTTTTGCATGAACGACATTGCGCTAATAGAACATCGCCATGTCTATAAACACAGAACTGATTAATGATATTCTTTGTCTGATTTCTCAATACGTAGAGTAAATATCCTACTTAATGTTTAAGAATTAGACATATTGTTATAACAAAATTACTAATACAGTCCTATAATTGGTTATTTGATTAAAATTATTTTGTTTAACTCTGCTACCACATACGTATGTAAGCGACTGCCAATACTTGAAGATTGACTACTATTATTATTACCAGAAGTTCTACAACCTTCCATTTTGTCCACACATATTTTGCATAACGTGCGTAGATGAAATGGCTATCAGAGATTGATGGTTAATACGGGAGGAAAAAAGAAAATAAAAGAAAATAATGGTTATCATATAACCAGTGATATTGACTTCCACAAAATAACATCTAGTTCAGTAAAATAGTTTTATTATAAGGATAAAAAGTAGCCTATTTCATTCTTCATGCGCGTGTACTCAATTTCATGACCATTAGTTAAGCCGTAAAGGCGCCAACATAAAACAAAATAAACTTTCTTATTTTTAATACTAGTAAGGATGTCATAGATTGTAAATATGTTCATGCATTTATAATCGCTTTTAAATGGCTGAAAACATTTTAGTGATGAATGAATAGATACTAACAGTTCATATTCTAGACTAATACGTAGACTAGCTACTGTTAATCCCAATTCATGTAGAAAAACCTCCAATTTATAGTTACTATTTACATGGCGCAAAAATTTTAAACTTTATGGTTCCACTTTGCCGATTCTACTCTAAGTAACTACAAACACATCGTGCATTTAGGTGGCATCGCAAATGCTAAGGTCGCCAGGGCTTGACGGCGGACTGCATAGCATCACGAGAGGTGAAGAGCACACCAATCACATCACTGAGCTTGAGCCTTTGTTTAGTTGTTTAGTTCGTAACATTCAAATTGGTTATATGTATATAATATGTATATATACTCCCATATAGCAATAGCCAATGCTATCATTTTATTATCCAATTTAATCAAATAAGCCTATATAAAAACTAAAATGACCTACCTGTATGTATACTACATACAGGTAAATCATTTTAGTTTTTAACGTTCCACATTTACAGCATGTTTTTCCATAATAATTTGGTGTGAATAATAGGTGTGAATAGCTTCTATGTCGACTTTGAAGCATTATTCGCTACAATACAAGCTGTGGTCATCGATTTGCCACTATAATTTATCGGCTTCCGGCAATCAGCATCAAACATCTATCTTCAAATTCAGGACGACATCGTAAAATCCGAGTTTTGTCTAATAATTATACCGAATACAGAATTTTATTTCTTAGTCTTAAATGTCCCGCAAGTACACATCAAACATATACATATAAAGGAAATATATTTTTAATAAAATAAAAAAATACGAATATTCTATACCATATATATAGTATTAATAATATTTTCTCGTGATTAAAAATCAACCAATCAAACAAATGAACAGTAACAATCAATATTATGTCAAATTATTAGAATTTAGTATGATATTTAGTGAGGTCACTATGTAAAGTATATCGTCCGAAACATGTTATCCGTAAAATTTAAGCATTTCATAATCAAATTAGCAGAATGAATAGCAACTGCGTGGGTTAACTCTTCCACAGTGAACCGATATGACACCTATAAAAACCAAGGACGTTCAATGTAGGTAATCTGTCTTTGATCGATTTATGGTTCTATTAGCAATAAAATAGCTATTTTAAGACTATTTAAATTTCATATAACATTGATGACTACATCTTAATTTTCCATATATGGAAATAATGTAGTAGGCAGACGCATTGTTTACAATATATTCATTTGCATAGAAACACGAAAAATTCCAACGGGTCGAAGTGTAACAGATAGTAGACTGACCCCATATGCGAATATAAGGACATCTTAGTCAAGTTAAAGGGGGATTGTTAATCATAATAATTAGCAATATATAACCTAATAGTTCGATAATATTCATCGTAATTAATGCCTGATGGATTCATCACAATATACTTCATTCTCATTTATTATCCCTAACTGGTAATCCGCATATGTATAATTTAAATTAATTCCACTTGAAGTAATTTTAATGGAATAGAATTGTATCTATTCAAATTGTAGTACGTTGTGCCTAAAAATATTGATAAAGTAATAATGAATCTACATTCTAGGACAAAAAACTCGAAAAAATATTAATATGATTATGATGTAATACGCTTATTTTTTGCTGTAGATGATATTTATACATTTACCTACGAAATATAATATATATAATCTTATGACTGGTTTTATATATTTACTAATTTTTTTTATATAAATAAATAATATAAGTACTGTAGAAATAAATGATTATAAGATATACAAAAGATACCTCTGCTCCTAATGTCTATAATACAGGCCTCGTTTTTTGCTTCAGACTAGGTATATATAAATAATTAATAATGTTATATAGGTTACGATACAGAAACAAGTATACTTAAAATTTTTAACTGTAACACGTGATTTCTATTGCATAACTGAAAAGTCCTTTTTTTAATGTAATCTATTTTTTTTTTTTTTTATTAATAAACTGCTATGTACGTATAAACAAAAAGTTTCTTCATAATGTTTCTAGAAAACTCTTTTTTTATGCAACTTAGAATAACAAGGAAGCTGACGGCCCTCCTGATGGGAAGTGGTAACCGTCACCTATAATAGACATGAGCAATACTATGGACATAACAGAGTATATTGTTTCGCTCATAACACCCCCCCCCCCCGTGTTTTTTTTATGGTTGAAAATGGTGTGGTAACCCCACCCCGCCTGCGCTAACGGGATACGCTGGTGAAGCACCAGTGAAGGGTGATAGATAAGAATGAAATCAATTTTTTGATCAGGAATTAACCGTGATAGTTTCCAGGGAGAACCGCGAGGAAGTCGAGCTGGTTAGGTATATTGCTAGTAATGGGATTCTTAGTCTCCATTACTAACGATCCCTTTCCCCCCACCCCCCATGTGTTGCCATTCCTGATGACTAAGGTGTTATGCCTCTGTCTCTATAAATTCACCGCCATATCCCCCCCTTAAAATCGAAACACGGCCATGCAAACACAACTACTTCACGGTCGAAACACGTATGGGACAGTGGTATCCATGCAAACGACTTTAGTACAAAGTCTCCCTTTGATAAAATTAACTTTGTTAAATATCATTACATTTAACTGTCTGGACTAATATAATAAAATAATTAAAGTCATTTACGTGATATACTTACGCGTCGCCTAAGTGATGTGTAAGCTTATTAATATAAAAAGTAATATAATATAAATTGTGCGTGATACTACTTACGCCAGATCAACTATATATACGTAATAATAATGATATGTTGGTCCTTGGTGGCTATTTATTCTAGATAACAAACACTGATAACATTATTTTAAAACATTTAATATCCATCCCTAACTTTTTTCTAAAAAATATAACACATTTACTTAATAATAACAATACTTCGAAAAATAAATCAATTCGTATATTTTTTGTTTGTATAATAAGTTCATGAATTTTGCTGTGTTTCATTCAATTATTATTTTGTATTTTTTTTAATATTTTTTTTTTTATTATAATAAAAGGCAAAAGACTACGTTACGATTCATCCACGGAATAAATTGACTAGATATAAGCCATAATAACCACGAACATTACAAAATACACGATAGGCTCAATGCAAAGTAAATAATATCAAAGCAGACCAGTATGGGTGACACCAAGCAGTATACCCTGCAAACCCAGTTACTATGATGAGTTTGTCTCTATAAAATCTAAGGTTATCCTTATCTATAGTTCCTCATTTATACTCTGATAGTATTAATTATTAGAGCAGTTGGGGTCGTCATTCCATTTTATATATTAAAGACCCAGGTGGGCTACTTAAAACTCCACCACCGTAAAATAAATACATGCATAAATATAATAAAAATATTTATTTACATTTGCACATTAAACATTGTAAAGTAATATTGAGTATTTATAACATTATATTAAAACTTGCGATCTAAATACATCTATATCAACAGTAAAGGCGGTGAGATGAGATTCATTAATTTATTTACTTCCTGGGCGCATTCCTGGCGATGTAGTCCAAGGCTCTGGCGATCTGTGCGGGAACTGGAGGAGGGGTGGGGATAGCATCACCCTAAAATAAGAGAAAATATTTCTTATTAATTTCCTGTATTCTTATTTATATAATGGGTGCAATAAAGCGTAAAGAAATAATTTCAATAAAGTTCTTCACGTGTGAGCACCCTATTAGACTAATATATCCCGTAATAATAGTCCCTCAATGCTACTAATAATATACTTCGAATAATATATTTTTATTGTAGTCATATTATTATGTTCATGATAACTACTTATGTTATTCATTAATTCTCACGTCTAGGGAAAAAATGTAACCTATTTTTAGTTTCATTTCAAGTATAAGGAATACTTGAAGTAAACTCATGCACTAATTTAAATTATTGTGCTTTATTTAGCGTAGTTATTTATAATTAGTTCGCGTCGGAATTTTACACATGGTAATTTCCGTATAAACCGAGAAAGCAGAAATTCATTTCTTAGTTTTTTACTTACACTTACAGTAATTATGTTTGACAATTTATCAAATAAAACAAAAGTCTTACCTGTGGTTGGTATCCATTCTCATCAGCAACATAAGCGATGGAAACAACTTGACCTTCAGGAGAAGTCCATGAGAATGAACCTTGAGCTACATCAGGAATGACTGGGGGATTGCCACCAAAGTTACGGGGTGTGCCTTGTTCCTGGGCAGCAATACCGTTGTCAGTTTCGAACCTGTAAATTAAATCACAAAAATAAATATTATTATTATTCTATTCATGTAATATTTTTCGATTAAAAACAATATAAATCTCAATATAAACTTCTTTCTCTAAACTCTATATAAATAGTTCGTATCGTGGATATTTATATATATTCTTTATTGCTCTATAACATACAGTAACAACAATGAGTTAATAACAATGTTAACAAAGGCGAACTTATCTCTAAAAGAGATTTCTTCCAGTCAACCTAACACAGTGGCATAGGAAGTAGTGAGTGGCCAGTAGTAGTGCAAAACAGAAATTGTTATTTAACAGTTATTATTATTAGTTAAACAATATGAAATTATAATTGAATTTCGTATTGTTTAACAGTCTTATTTTATTGAACTTTAAGAAAAAACATAAATCTCTAAATTTTTTACTATCTGCACAATATTCTAAGGAGTTACAGGGCCTAGTGTCTTTGTTATCATTTTAGAATCGATCGTTGTGTGCAATAACTAGACTACATTGATCACGGTCATTTATTCCTCTGTTGAAAAGAACTATCTACAATTTAAAAAAAATCTAAAACAAAAACAATCCCCTGCCCATCAAGTAGATAGCCTTTATTTCAACTTTTAAAAAAACTTATCAACAGTCCTGAAAATATTAATCAAAACACAGTTTAGAAATACAAAGGCTTAGGTAAAGAAGCATACAGTCTGCCTGATGGCAATATAACCACTCCACGTACGTTATAAATATTTGCAATGTCCAGAGTATGTCCACACCCATTTTAAAGATTAATAATGATAAAATATACTAACGCGTAGCTGTAGGAGCCATCAGGGTTGATCTCGCTCTCGGATCTTAGGATGGAAGCAGATCGTTCATCAGATACCCTAGCGACGGAGCGCACAGGCTCAGGTCGGAGAGGCGCAGGCGCCGCCACGGGGTTGAAACGGGCTGGGCTCGGCCTGAATGGACTACCAAACCGATTGAACTGCGCATTGCTGGCAGCCACCATACACGCTAACACGACAACCTGCCAACCATAAAACTCATTAGTGCACATAATAATTACTTTTGTTATATTATCAAAATAAGTCTTTTTTTTTTTTCAAATACACTTTAAAACAGCAAGCAATATTTTATTCGTTTATGTACGAGTTTTAATGTACTATCAAACATGGCCATAAAATAGGCATTTTTATTTATTTTTGATCCATTGATAATACTCACTGCGAATTTCATTTTGTATAGTTTAGCTAGCTACGTCGAAGTAGATTGAATGCGGATAAAAAATCTGCGCAGGTTTATATATGAATCGCGGATCCACCCACTTTAATCAGTTTAACTGCAACATTTAAATGATGTATCGTCGAGATTGATATTGTTTTCAAATATCACTTGTACAATTTCTGCTATCGTACTATGTTATAAAAATTATTCAGTAGGTACAATTAAACTTAATTACCCATTAACATTTTAATTCTATTTATCTATAATACATTATAGTATTTTGTAAAATAGACATATAGTATATAATAATTGTTATTTTTGTGTAAAAAAACTTGCAAATCTTTTTATTTCTTGATAGAATATAATAAGTATATTTATAATAAGTATTCCAATCAATATTTTTCGAATCTTTCTGGGATTTTTATTCCATATAAAAAACTATATGTACTTATACATACAAACATACATATGTATCCCACCTGTCTTCCATATACTTATTATATGAATTCTATTGAAAATAATATATTTAAAATTATATATAATATATAATCTATAATATATATATTAATATAATATTTATATATATATATATATATATATATATATATATATATATATATATATATATATATATATATATATATATAAATCGAAGGACGAAATAATTTTCGGTCTTTTCTAAATTAATCATTTATATATTTCAATAAATTCGCGATTGTGTAAGCCCTTTTAAATGTCATCGTAATAACCTTACGATACACCTCAATATATTTATATTCGTATATATCGTCCATTAATTTGAACATTTATTAGATACCTATTGTAATAATTTAGTTTTTTTAGCGGATGGATTTGTACTCAATAAATTCATTTACTACTCCAACCTTGACTTTTGTAACAAAACTTCCTATATCATTGGCATTATTGGTTTTCTATGGTCGCAACTCCATCCGCTTGACCAGGATAAAAGCTGCCTGAGTTCTTTTTTATGTCAAATGATACGTATGCCAAATTTCATGATGACTGGTTAAACCAAGAGGTTTGATACCTCTTCGTTTAACCAAAAGTAACCAAAAGTTTACCAAAAGTATTATAAGTATGTTAATGAGCAATATTAGAAAACTTAAAAATAATAAAATATAGCATGTAATATGTATAAACAGTACTAGTAAATAATATTCTTAAAAATACTTCATTATAAATTTGTGTCTCTAGTGAGAAACGGTAAATTTCAAAATCGTTACTCTTCAAGAGAGTCTAAAGTTTATTTAAAAATAATATTAAAGAGAAACCATTTTGGTGTAAAATAATCTAATAATTGTTAACATTTTCTGACAATAAACTGATGGTTACTTAGACGTGTACAAGGTCTTAAATCAATATAAAACAATTTTAAGAAATAAAATTTATAAAAAAAAAAAAACATTATTTGCCGTTTAGTACTAAGTAACTTGTTTCTTTTGGCTTTATATTTTATAAAATATTATTTTTCTAATTCAAATCCAGTCTATAATGAAAATATATATTTAGATAATTGTAACTTTTTTCAAGTTCTATATATTCTTTGTATATAAAAATATATTCACATATTATGCATTTTCAAAAAGAGAAAAATGCCTATTTAAAATAACTCCCTTTCTCATTTGAATTTTTTATTAATTTTTAACCAATTTTAAACAATTTTTTGTTGGTAGGCTTATCTATGTTGGTTTATATTCCGTAACTTTGTCACGAATCAAGTCGCTCTTGTAGAACAAAGGGCAAACGAGTTCACGTATTAAGACATCACAGAGTATTACTTGAACCACAACATAGCAAAATAACATAATATTATGAGAAGTATATAACGACGCCTACATTATTTATTCACTTATCACCATTATTCATTCTTATATAATTTAAAATGACAGACACTAACAATCTATCTGATGGAAAATGGAATCACCACATACCCAGAATAAAGAGATTGCTAGTAAGGGAGGCAGCCTCATTCCTAGCAATATACGAGTTCGTTGGCGGGTTTCCCTTCACACAATCCCCCTTGAAAACCATCGTGGTTATTTCTCGCTAAATTCGTCATGATAGGATCGCCATTTGATTTTAGAAATAAAATAGTTCTAAACAAATAACATAATTTGATTTCATCCTCACCTACCATCCCTCATTGATAGCGTAAATGGAATCATTCTTTCATTTTCATCAATTTAAAAAAAATATGAACCATGGAACCATCATTCTTTATTTTCGCTAAATTCGTCATGATCATTTGATTTAGAAATAAAATAGTTCTAAACAAATAACATAATTTGATTTCATCCTCACCTACCATCCCTCATTGATAGCGTAAATGGAATCATTCTTTCATTTTCATCAATTTAAAAAAAATATGAACCATCCAGGAACATCACAAAATGTAGGCATTCAAATTTTCAACAGTGAAGTTATACGTTTGTACCCAGTAATTTCACTGCTATATCTCCTCTTGCATACAGATACGCATTTATTCAAGCTCATCTGTTTGACTACAGAAAGGTGAGTGATACAGAAGTATAGATACGTATAGACAAAGCAGTTGACTAATGTATAAGATCTCACTCTTGTAATTTGTCCTATTTTATATCTATTTTACTATTAGCTTTTACCCGTTACGACGGACGAACTACGTAGATTACAGAAGTGGGATAATCAATTAAAATTCAGAAATACAACTGTGAAAACCGCATCTAATTTCATGCAGAAGTTTTTGCGTGATGCCAGAACAAACATACAGACAGACAAAATTTCAATAAAATATTGTTTTGTTTTCTATTGGTCTTATTTAGGTTTCTCATAACAACATATTATATCATAAACATAAACACATAAGAACAGAAAAACTTGAAACCAAACTAAATAAATAAACTATAAATGCACCACTACACTTGGTATCCCAATAACGAAATATGATTAGCTCTCAATATTTAGGGAAACGGTATTCCCTAGCGAAAAAAAAAGACCCCTCATAACAATTTTTTATAAATATCTCCCATGTACAGACATCGTTTAGTTGCAATTTTATTACATTAGTAAGATTTACAAATTATGTCAAAAAATATATTTATGATATTATTTATGATCTTTGACAAAAACCTTAAGTTACTGAATTTGCACTAAATTCATTGCAAACGTATGATAGGCACTATCCAGTGTTATTTATTTAACATCTCATCGTTATTACATTAACATAAATTCAATAATATTTTCACAATTCGTAAAGTAAGTTCTGCTAATACAAGTACAAATAGCACTGAGCAATTTACATTTTTGGTCATTCATGTTTGCTTTTTTCTTTATTTCTTAATCTTACATTTAAAATATTTTTATCAAATTATAATACAATTTGGTATGTATATGCATAATATAAAGGTTTATTCTCACTGTCTAACTAGTTGGCTGATCTAATAAAATTAACAGCTTAGATTAGAAACTTAAAATTTTAATAAGTATAGGTAAACAATGAGGATGTAAGTGATAAAGTAAAAATGATATACGAGTATGTTACTACTCATTTTCGTTAACATAATATGATAACAGCTTATTATTTGGGAAATTCATCACAAGACACTTAAGCGAGAAAAGGAAACTTTAATACGAAAACCTTATTATCATATAGTAGCTGTTTACCAATGCCTATAGTATTACCTATCCTGGGAACATATTCTTGTCACGCGGGTGAAGTCGCGGGTAAAAGCTAGTTCATTATATAATTAGATATCTATACCAAATCACCTGGCTTTTATTATCAAATTTATAAATGTGCTATGGATTCCTTGTCGTAAACATTTGCTGAGAAAAGATTTCTTGGAATACATTATTAGTCACTGTAAAAATAAAAAATTTGCTGATCCTTATTTACTGAATAATAGTCGGTAGAAACATAGTTTCTTCTATAAAAACAAGGTTCTTTATATGCAATCAATAAAAAAAAAACAATTAAAACAGAATATAAGGAGATTCGAGAGAGCATAGCCGATAAAAATAGCTCATGAATAATAAAATAGTGTGTCTATCCTCTAAACATTGAACATTTCCAAGGTCTGGGACGGCGTACGAATTCATAGAGTAACAAGCAGAATAAATATAAATCATTTGGAAATGATTACATATTTATGCAATATGCTGTTGAAGAGCTCGTAGGATTCAGCGCGAGCATTGTATATTAATAGAATATCTTGACTATTTTTTACCAGCTTTTATTTAAAATTATTAATAGTTAATTTTAGATTGTATATTTATACAATCTAAAATTAACTATTTTTTACTAGCTAATAAATGATGAGACAATGATGAGATGTTGAAAATATTAGAATGTGTTAATGAGTATTAAAATATGGTATATTTAAAAAAAGTAAACTTAAGAAAGTTTGAAATTCACCATACAAACACCGTGTGATAACCAAGTAAGAATACAATACAATACAATCGCCACCCGTTTTCATACCCAGGATGCCATAAGACGCAAAGAAAAAAGAAAAATAAAATACTATACTTAGCCACTGTGGTCATAATTGGATAATAATCTCCGTTTATGAGAAATATCCTATACTTAGTACTGTATTGTAATATTAGCAATAGGTCGTTATGGTTGTAACACAGTGAAATCGATTCTAAAGTATCTTTCTTCTGATATATCATCTCATATAAACTTAATCTCTAAAATTACAAATTTAATTAGATCATTTAATAAAATAATAAAAAGTTATGGTGTGAACTATGAATAAATACATATAATGTAGTACCGATGCAATTCTACAAAAAAAATAGTTTAAACTGGTCCTTATATTAATAATTTCTGTGTAATATTAAATTAAAATTTTAAAAATAGACATAAGTATTTGGAATCTTCTTTCTTACAATTTTATCAAAATAATTTTAATAAACTCGGAGAAAAACATCTTTGAATTTCATTAACTGCATTAACAAACGAGTATTACACAAGTTTCAATAATTTTTTTCTTAATATTTCAAAATTGGAAAGTTACACTATTAATACCTTCATTGACTAAGATAAAAACAGCTTAAGTTATTTCCTTCTTAAGTAGATATAACGTGTATATAAAGTTTTATAAATAAAGTAACAAACATACTCACTTTCATATTCACCTTATTATATTCCGAATCAAAATAATGATGTTCGTTCTAACCAGTAAGAAAAAAAAATCTCAGTTATTAATTCAAGGAGGTAAAAACAACGTTTGCAGCTATTAACCCTCTGCCCGGGCATTCCGCGATTTCCACGTACAGTATCTACTAGTTTAATTTTACGCATCCCGCGATTTTGACTTACTCGCATTTTTTATGTTTATTAACGTAGTTATCCTGCAATTTTTAGTAGATTGACATTGTTTCTCCGAATCTCGCTAGATGGCTAAAAACTTGTGCTGCTATTTATTATCACAGCGATGTGTTCTACTGTTGTGAAAAAAAATACGCGATCAGAGGGTCAGTATTCTTTGAGTATAAATACGAAATAATTAATTGCCTTGTTTACTTATTCTATAGTATCTCTAATAATTTGAACTTGAATAACAATTTCTGTACTGACTACAGAACCCTACTCATGTAAATTCGATACGCTCGTTTTTTCTGTAGGTATTTAAATAATTCAAACGCAAGTCATGTTTTTTGTTACATCAAATATATATTTTGTTGATATAAATATCTACTAATATTATAATAAATTCTACTAACGCAACATAGTTTATCTTATTTAAATATATTAACTACTAGGGCTTAAAAATTCTGATACTGCAAAATCAATCTTGTTATAATAATAATACGGTATATTATAAAGGAACAATGCCATTATAAATATTATAATATAATATATAGAGTGAGAACAATATTTATATCGCAGCATATCGTCTCACATTCATATTATTTTATATTTTTCAAGTATGAAAAATTAGTATAGAGTAGCATACGTAAGCAACCATTTTATAAGTATTTAACTGACCAGACAGACATCAACTTAACACCGCTGACAAAAATTAATTTTTATTGTACATAAATGACTTCGTACATTATTTTATCTCCTGTATTTTTTGTAGATATTATTGTTAAAAAATGTAACAATATTATATTAATATATACAAAAAGCTAAATACATGTAAATGTATATTTCTTTTATTTATTTCAACTAGTATATATATATATTTGATTAGAAAATTTATCATCAAAATCCGTTCGTAATTGAAAAAGATACTATGAACGATAACTAATGATAACGCCTAGATAACTCTATCGGAATAATTTTATCATAGATGTTTTGCTAACTTGTTTTTAACTAGGCACCTTAATATATTGGCATACCTACATATGATATCTGATGTCTAGTTTTGTAATATAAAGTAATATAAAAAGAATAATTAATAAAAAAATATTAGATTATAATAAAAATTTTAAAATACTTTATGTGAATAATTTAATTCTTATATTTTTATTACAATTAGAATAAATCACACAATACAAAAGTTTCTCAGTCTGCTATAGAGAGGGCTTCGCTCGAAGTTCCCCTGCATGAATAAAATGAGGAAATAAGCAGAAGAATCTAATTTAAACTGAATATTTAACCTAAAATTGAGGAAAAATTTCTCAAGTGGTGACCCTATACTTACAAATGTAATATACTTATAACAGCTCTTTGCGTTACGACAATCATAAATAATGTGCAGGATATCGTTGTATGCTGGTATGGTGACTTGGACATTTCTTATGATAAACATACGAGATGAACTTTATTCAATTATCGTAATAGAGAAACTAAAAATTTTCAAAGGAACATAGAAAAAAAAAAACAAAAAATACAGAACTCCTATATTGGACAGATGAACACACCGTGGTAGTATAGAAGATTTTTTGTCATTTGTTGATATATTGTAATATTTTCACGATAAATTTCAATTAGGTACTTTGTTTTTTCATTCAAATCTCCCCCTACTATTAATTATGTATTATTTCAATAAATCTATCATTCATCTTATTAGACTTACACAGTGGTTACCTGGTAAGAATTTGAATTAACTCAACATTAACAGTTTTGATGCAATTGAGTGCTTATTTTTTCATATTAGATACTTATTTACCCAGATCAATTACATCATATCCATAGGAATGTTGTGTGATTGATGATGCCTATCAGCGCTAATACTCATCTTATTACTTCGTGATATCTAGATAAAAATATGTCTTAAATCTTAATTTATAAGTGATTATATTCACTGTGCATTCGTGAACGCCTATTGAGAACCACCTAATTCAATCTTGTATACGTATTACGGCAACATGCATCTTTCGATGTTCGTAATATTAATTGTATATATAGTATATATATACTGTATTATTATATGTTATAATAATACAGTATAATATTAATTTATTCATATATATGAATTCATGTGTATGTTCATCCCTCAATGATCGCGTACTGCGCGGTTTCAGAGATGTTTCCTCCCACGAACACTCAGGTTGTGGAATGAGCTCCCTGCCGAGGTTTTCCCAAGAGACTACAGCATGGGGTTCTTCAAAAGGGGGGTAAAGAGGTTTCTTCAGGATCGACAACGCACGCGTAATGCCTCTGGTATTGCAGGTGTTCATAGGCTACGGTAACCACTTACCATCAGGTGGGCCGTATGCTTGTTTGCCATCTCAGTCAGTATAAAAAAAATGTATAGCAAAAAAGTAAATATCCACGGTATAACTGTACATTACCTAGAGCCTATTAGTACATTTGAGTAACGTGCATAATATTTTACTGTCCGCAAAAAACTTTCAACCAATTTGCAAATTTATGAATAAAATTTATTGACGTATATTTAAATGTAAATATCTTTGTAACGCATAAATATATTTAAGTTAGTGACCCATAGCAAATGTCGCAAATTACGCATAAAATCAGTCCACAAACTTCTATTTCAATTCATTAACATGATCCTACGAGTATAAACGAAAACTTGTTTCACGAAGAATATAAATTTAACAGTAACTTTTTAGAACTTAAACTCCAGGTTCAAGGATAAAATTTACAACATAAGTAATAGGTAAAATTATTCAATTTCATCATGATCGACGCTGTCAGCTTCATTGGTTATACCTAATTGTCAATAGATTTATTGTGATGCGAAATTTGTGAGTGGATCACACCTTACTTATGCAATTTTATAATCGCGCTGATGTAATTGGGTGCTTACTTGTATATTCAGTCTAAAGTCACATTCCAACATAAAGATTAACATATAAAACTCACATTCTTTCAAATTAAAAAAGGATTGTGCAGTACTATCGTTAAAAAGTACGACTGAAGACGATTTTATTATTATTATCATCATCATCAGCATCTCAGCCATTATATTTTCACTGCTCAACGTAGGCCTTCCCGATAGACTGCCATAAGGAATGGTCTTGAGTCCCCTGCATCCACTGACTCCTTGATTATTATTATCTCTCTCTCTCTTCAGTCGTACACTCTTGACAGAGTGCTCATGGTTTTTACAATGATAGTAGATCGTGTTATTACTATATCAGCCATTAACTGTCTTCTACTGATTAGTATTAAGACTACTAAGCAGTAATATTTTTTATTTTTTTTGCATATTTAATCTGACTAGAAATGTCATTGATAAGTATAAATCAACCAACACTAAATCTTTTTGGTTCCTAACATTATATTTTTTTTTACATACAGCTGTTCTATTATCATCACTATATCTTTATTAATGAATTCTAAATTATTCGGTTCTGTAAAATAACACAATTGATAATGCATTATTTTCTTCGACTTCTTCATGATATTGAAACTTATGTCGCAAATGTCTTGAAACTAGTTTGGTGACTTGACGACCCTTTACCTATATATAAGTATACTTTTATACTATTACATATTTTTTAATTAAATTAATTTTCAATTATCCTTTTATGTCTCATCTCCTTATACAATTAATCCCCTATATGCAAATACCATACATTCTTTTGTTATTCTCAAATGGATCAGACAGCGTTTTCGATAAACGGATTCGGATTCAGACGGCTTGATTTTTTCTGACATCTCCAATTATATATTGCATTCAATTTACACAAATATTTTATCAAATTTTACACCTATACTTCCTTAGGAATCACTCTATTGATAAAAGAAAATGTGTTCAGTAATTTTCGAGATCATCGCGAACATATAAATAGATAAACGCATCAGAGAACTTTGTTATATAATATGTAGTGATAGTAGTGCTGTCATTTTTATATTTTTTCTAGGATTATCAATAGTATTAGCATATTAAATAACGCAATTAAATCCACCTACTCTCTAATATGTTTAAAAATTTGCAAACTAAGCTAATAATAGTAAGTGCAAACCCAATTTTGAAAATGGCACAATTACTTTAGCCATGTGAGGCTTTAGTATTTTTACAATTTGTATTCTTTGTATAATTATTATACTATAATTTATCGGCCCAGCAGTGTTAGCTTCGGTCAGATATCGCTTACTACAGTCCGGAAATTCCAAGATCGAATCTCAGTCTATAATCTATCTCTTAGTATTTAAATTCAACTTTGGGTAATTTAAATATAGGAACGTTTAATAGTTAAGTAACCTACGTCAGAAATTTTTGTGTACAAAAAAGGCGGCCTATAAACCTCTGATGCCAGAGAGTGGCATTCACACACGAACTAATATACTAAAAGTGTATTACAATGGAATAAATTGAAATTTTTTTTAAACAACTCTGTAAATTTCCAAACAAAAATTTTTAATTAAATATCTCATTATATCAAAAATCTCTCTAAATATGTTTTCCAAATATTTCAGACATTTAGTTATCTAATTAAAAATGTTATATATATTATCTTCTGGTTATTATTGTTAATTTTATTTTATTAATGTTTAATTTTAATTAATATTACTTTAACAATCTTTTCATTCAAGTTGCAAATTGTTATTGGTATTGAATTGTCTAATATTGTCAAATTTGTATTCAGGATCATATATTGTACTATCATGCATCAGTAACTAGCTTTTAATAACAAATGAATAAATAAAATTTTGTAGAATTACGAAAATAAATTTATTAATTTCATATATTTAATCACAAAATTGACTGTTGTCGTTTTAAACACATATTTCAATAAAAATATTTGCTATACTATAAATCACATTTATAAGGTGTTCAGATATTTAATGCATAATATCTGACTAGACTTTTATAGGCACTATTTACTTCCTTGGTGCATTTCTTTCAATGTACTCGAGAGCACGAGCAATTTGTGGTGGTACTGGTGGAGGGGTGGGGATAGCGTTGCCCTGAAAGAGAAACAAAAGTAAATTAATTATTTGTAAATATGATATGTTGTTACACTATACAATATATTAAACAATAACCCCTACTATTGTGTTTTAATTTTTGTATAATAATTATTATAATTTATTATAATGTCATGTTCATTTCAGTGACATTGTTATAGGTCTCTTCTGAAAAAAAAGAAACTAAGCAGCAAGAACATAATATTTGTTTATATAGAAGTGACTATAAGTTTAAGAACGTACCTCGAGATCCATAAGAGCCTATATTATTAATTTACGCTAAAACATATTTTAAGGATACATATCGTAGGTTACCTGTGGTTGGTATCCATTTTCGTCAGCGACGTAGCTGATAGAAACCTGTTCACCCTCGGGAGACACCCAAGAGAAGGAGCCTTGAGCTACATCAGGGATGATTGGTGGGTTGCCACCGAAGTCACGAGGGGTACCTTGCTCCTGAGCAGCAATGCCGTTGTCAGTCTCGAAACTGTAAGAAATGAAAAACATAAAATAAGATTTCAGATATACGTTAAATGCAATAACGTTCTTGCAGTGTGAAATATAATACAATATTTATCCCTTAGTAAGTACTTATTTAAATTATTAAAAGTATTTTAAAAAATTATTGTGCCTAACAAAGATTTGAAAATTTACTATTATCTTTTTTTTTTAATTAATTTAAAATCTTTAAAATAAAATAATTAGATACATTTCTTTCAGTATTGTTTATTAATGGCACGAAATCGCTTATATCTCAGTTCTTATTTTTATAAATTACTTCAAATGTTTGTATGTGTATGTATTGTATTTTATAATAATAAATTTACAACATTACTAAAATCACTTACGCGTAGCTGTAAGAACCATCTGGGTTAATGTCATTGTCGTAACGAATGATGTTAGCAGTCTGGTCATTAGAAGAGCGGCTGACCGGAGCTGCAGGACGTGGAGGTTGGGATGGAGGTGGTAGTGGCCTACGTACATTAGGGAATTGTGCTGATGCCACAGCGACGAAGATAGCAAAAATTACCTAAAGAAAAAAAAAGTCAATCGTTTTTTTTTTTTTCATTTGTAATACAAATAAAACCATATTCTACATATCAGTTAAATTACTTTAAAATAAATATAGGTGTCGTGAATATATATTTTTTTAATTTAAAATAGTAAAAAAATTCACAATGGAAAATATTGTGAAACATTCACCGATAGACAACACCGTAACACAACACCATAGACCACAAGCTACAGAATTTGCATTGCCCGTGAACCTGTATGCGTTGTATTCCTAAGAACGAAGGTACAGTAACAACAATAACTTTATACCCTATAATTATACTGTCTTTCAAATCGAAACATAGTCTATACCACTTAGACACAGTAATATTCAAAAAGCTTCACTATATGTAGAAAAAGAAATATTGGCGGCAAGGATATCACATTCTTTAAAAAAAATTTGAAGCGAGCAAATATTACAAAATTTTAATTCCTATTCCTTTTTACTCACCAAGAACTTCATTTTTACAAGAGCAGATCTATTTGATGACTGATACAGCACTATGAATTCATATTTACTTTTATACCGTTGCTCCGAGCATTTTACATAACCACGACATTGATAGTGTCATGTATTTGCATTTATTTAGTAATTAATTAGACTGCGACATTTTATATTGTCTATGAAATAAGAACTCATCTCTGTTAGGTCCAAATTACCTGAAATTCAAGAAAAAACATATTTTTTCTATCTATTGTTGTAAGGACTGAGTGGAATAACAATCTTCATGCGACATGAACAGAAAATCTATGCCATTTTTTATATTCTAACGCAATAAAACATTCGTGTAGTGAGATGATTCGTTAGACATTTTTAAATACTAGGAAGCTACATAGTCAAGGTTACTGTCGTAGACTAGTCTACAATTTATTTTTATCTTAAAAATAAATATTCACAACCTTTACCATTTGGATTTTTATTTCAAAAAAACGACCAAAATATTAATGAGTCCTCCTTAACAGAGCTCTTCTTTAAACCTTTGTTCAAAAAATATTTTTCATTAAAATCCAAATGATAAAGGAATAAAATTAGTATTACAAAATAAAATTTTATTTTCCATTTCAAAATATTTTCGGAATTAAAAGGTAAGTTCGACAGCAAATTATTAAAACTTTGTAGGAATTTTATCAATTTTCCTGATTTACTTATTTATAGATAAAAGAAGATATTATGTACCGATCATAATATCTTCATAATAGCTAATTTGTATGCCAGGTGATTGCTATAACATTTAAATTATGGAAGCAATAATTATATTATCACCAAAATTTAAATAAACGATGTTTTTCTTACCGAATTATCGTCTTAATTCAGCAATTCTTATTACAAGTTTTGGATTAGTAAAATATTATAATTTTAACTGTAAATAATCACACATTATTATTTTATTTTTTATTCACGAAGTTACTGTTACACTAACTTATTTATTCATTGAAATATTGCACAGAGAAATATCTATTCTATGTACGCAGCAATCCATGCGATTCATTAGGGAATGTTCTCATTCGGCTAGTAACAGAAATAGCTGGAAAAATTTTGCGAGAACCTCTGTAAGGAAGGATGATGATCTGGATGATGATCCACTAATATCGTAATGAAAACCACGACCACTCTATTAAGAGTATATAACCAAAGTCTCTACGGCTTGTAGTGAAAATGTAGATTAGCTTATATTTGCGAATATAAGAATTTTTGGTATTTTAACTAATGACGTGCGAAGGAATGAAAGCCATATTTTGAAAGAAGAATTTGCACTTAGATGCGTTAAACCAAAAAAAATATAGATGGATTTTATAAAACATAATATGCATACAAGAACAGTGAGTTCTAATATAACAGCTGGTAAGGATCAGGAAGAAGATATATTCTTATATCTGTATGTATTCTTCGTCGGTGCTGTCACTGACTCCAAATGAATTATACAAAAATACGGTAATGATGATAGTTTTAAGGTTATTTATAATACAATAAAGTGAAGGCTGTAGCAGATCAAGTTTGTTTTGACGCGATAAGCTTACCCATATAAGCTTTTGGCTTTGCTATACTAAAACTCCAATTTCTGGATATGTATCCGATTAACCCTGTTAATAAAGTAATCAATAACAGAAGCCATATTAGACCGTAGTAATAGGTATTATCAACATCATCATTTGTCTTAATTCCTTCTCTATACTTTATATTTAACCCCTCTAAGACCCAAGCTTGCGCGTTCACTGCTAAGAAAACCCCATTTGCTGTGGCCCTACAGTTCCAGGGCACTTCTCTTAACATCTCTAAAAGCATTAGGATCCTTGGTGTCGACATCTCTAGTGACGTACAGTTCCGTGGCCACCTCGAAGATAAGGTCAAGCTGGCATCCAAAGAACTCGGTGTGCTTAATAGAGCGAAGCATTACTTCACGCAGGATCAGCAATTAATGCTTTACAAATCGTAAATCCGGCCCCATATGGAGTATTGCTGTCACTTATGGGCGGGAGCACCTAGATACCAACTTGAACCCTTCGACTCAATGCAACAACGAGCTATGAGAATTGTCGATGATCCCAGGCTTGCAAGCGGTATCGAACCCTTAAGTCTTAGGAGAGATTTTGCCTCACTCTGCGTGTTCTACCGCTTATACAACGGATTGTACTCAGAGGAATTATTCAATATGATGCCTACGGCCACTTTCTATCATCGTACGGCTCGCCATCGACAGGGAGTTCACCCTCATACCTTACAGCCTAAATGGTCGCGTACAACGCGGTTTCAAAGATGTTTTCTCCCACGAACACTCAGGATATGGAATGAGCTCCCTGCCGAGGTTTTCCCAAGAGACTACAGCATGGGGTTCCTCAAAAGGGGGTAAAGAGGTTTCTTCAGGGTCGGCAACGCGCGCGTAATACCTCTGGTATTGCAGGCGTTCATAATATATATACATCAATATATTTAAATATATATATATATATATATATATATATATATATATATATATATATATATATATATATATATATATATATATATATATATATAGGTATAGATTATCAAACAAATTTTATATGTAACTTACAAGTGCAATAAAGAATATATATGTTACTAAAGGCTTAATCTTTAGTTTATATTTAAGTACCATAGCATGCCTATCTGGTATGGTATCTCTCTGAATGGAAGATCGCCACCTTCCAAACAGAAAGAATTTTCTACAATATACCCTTTCGTATTAATAATTTATAAGATATTGTTTAATTGTGTCTGACAAAAGACATTTCCTACCTTACTTAGTAAGTACTCGTACAGCGTTAGGTGAGCAACCAGCTTCAGTAGACAATACACACTGACGCCCTAATGAAAGTCACAGAAAGAAACAGATTCACGTTATCTGAAAATATATTACATGTACTTAATATTTTATTTAATTTCTGATACTGTTCATTGTCCTGCATTCACTGATTCCATTTAATACATTTAAGGTCGTTGCTCCCTTTAATGGCAGTCGTCCTACAGGATATATTGCGTTTACCTGTACGGGGTCGCCTCTTGAGAGCCATTCTTCTCCATCGGTTATTGATTCTTAGAACTAAATATACCTAACTCATATATATATATATATATATATATATATATATATATATATATATATATATATATATATATATATATATATATATATATATATATATATATATATATATATATATACTTGTTTATTATATACATCACGTTTCTATAATGAAGTTATTACATACATAACTTAACCATGTGTCGAGTTTTAGTACTGGAGCATTCAAAAAGCGCAAGGTGAATTTAATAACATGCGATAATAAGATCTTATTTTGTAAATAAATCGATTTAGATTAATTCGTTATTCGGATGTTTTATCACAGCAACAATCTTTCTTCAGAAAATTAATAGCATATTAACAGTATATCTCATAACTTATAGGATTACTATTAAAGTAATTTATAGGTAAATGTTATAGAGAATTTTATAAAGATTTTATTTGTCTTTGACAGCTTTTTGCTATTTCCAATAGTTTTTGTAGAAAATGAAAAGAACCGCAGTTACGCACATGATTAAGATTAAAGGAGAGGAGGGGCTCGGAGAGATTGGCACCGGGCAAAATCGTAGTCAGCTTGGTCTAACTACCCTAAAAATAATAGGTGTCAAAACGCTAAAAAAAATTCCATTAGACGTAAAAAGGAATGAATTTACCAACAGGCCACTAGTCTATGTACATATACACCTTTTGTTGTGAGTCGGGTATATCTTATTTATTATATATATAATTAGTCCAGTTTAACCCCGCTAAGACACAAGCTTGTACGTTCATCATTAAAACCCCCATTTGCTAAGACTTCACAATTGTGGAATTTCAGGAGTGTATTCCTCTGTGGAGGAAGGAAATTCTCAAGAGTGTATGGAGTATATTCCTGGAATGCAATGCTCTTTGACACAAGGTGAGCCCCATGCTCGTTTGCTGAGTAGTAAAAAAAAAAAATTCAGGAACGTGCCCTGGAATTCTTCGACATAAGAGCATTGCGATCTTTTATGTCGACATTTCTGCCAACGTAGTTCCGTAGCTACCTCGAAGATTGGACAAGACTTTCTATAATCATACGCTCGCCATCAATGGAGGCCCTCATATCCTCAAATATATCTCCTCTCAAGAACGCTTAGGTCACAGAATGTCGTGTTTTTTACAAGAAACTGCAACACAGGGTTCTTCAAAAAACGGATAAAGAGATTTCTTCAGGGTCGGCAACGTGCGCGTAATGCCCCTGGTATTACAGACGTTCATAGGTTATAGTAACCGCTTACCATAAAGTGGGTATTATGCTTGTTTGCCACCTTAGTGATATAAAAAAATACACTTCATAATAAAAATAACGGACATAATGTTACAAGTGACAAAATAAAACATTGAATATATTTTTTATGAATATGAAAATATTTTTTTATGAACTTAAAAAGTGGTAACCGTCGCCTATAAACAGTACCATAGGCATAACAGAGTATACTGTTTCGCCCATGACCACCATGCCTTGTCATTCCTAAGGAATAAAGTGTTATACCTCTATACTCTGTAAATTCACTGCCATAAGGGATATGGCAGAAAATTTGCATTTTTAATAAAATTCTTCAAACCAAAACAAAGCCATGCAAACAAAATTGCTTCACGCTAGAAACACAAATGGGACAGAGGTACCCAAGCAAAAGACTTTAATACAAAGTCTGTCTCTGGTAATAATATTGAATATTCTATACTAATTTACTGTAAAACAAACATTTTATAATATAAGATTAAATATCTATCAAATTCTTTATTATAATAATGGTATTATATTAACCACTACGTCAAAAGGTAAAATAAAACATAATTAAATAGTAAATAATAATTATTTCGAAATATCTAATCACAGTGGATAAAGCACTTAAAATAATAATTAGACTCGAGGTATTTGTGGTAAATGGGCGCCACTGGGATGAAAACCAAATTCGTCAGCTGTGTAATCGACTCTGTATGTAACACCGTCATCGCCGAGATATTCGAAGAATCCTGTGGCTCTAATTCCAGGACCAGTGGCGGTATTTTCGAGCCTACCAGCCTCTTCAGCGTTAATACCATTTTCTGTCTGGTAAGAATATCGGTAAGAGTTAACATCTATTTCGTTGTCTTGTCTGAGGATTCTTGCGTTCTGTTCATTACGTTGTTGTGGCCTAACATAAGAAGTTTGTTGAGGCCTGACGTATGAACTTTGTTGTTGGTAGTAGGTAGGAGATGCAGCAGACGCTGCTCCTAATGGCCGATAAATACCAGCATTTTGACTGAAACTAAAAAAGAACATTTTATTGGCATTTTAGTTTTTTTTTAATAAATACGAATAACAAATACATAATATTGTTATCAATGCAATAGTCTTATTCTAGTACATGATATTGATGAATAAATATTTTATATATTTTTTAAATAAGAGTATATTTAAATAATTTTATTAATTATAAATGGTAAAATTTTATCCGGAATATCATTATCTTTGTAACATTAAGATAAATGTTACCTTTGCAGTAAGTTATGGGATAGCGTTGCTTTCTTTCAGTTACTTATGTATATATAGAATAATGGCCCTTTTGAATCGAACATTGTAAATTGCCACTTAAATACTGAAACCCCAAAATTATCACTATATTTTTGAGAGACAGAAATTATATGTAATACTTTGTATTCATACCTAGATTGTGGTCTCTGATATCTATTGTTAGAATTTGATCCACTGGAATAGTCGTATCTATTGTCGTAGGATTCTGCGTATCGACCCTCATTGCTTGGCCGGTATCGACCGTCGTCACCTCCATAACTCCCTGGACGGTATCGTCCATCGTCTAGAGCATTACTGGTAACAACACCAAACACCAACACGGTAAACTGCACAAACAAAAACTTCACTATACACTTTAGCTCCTTAGCAAAATCCATCTACAACTACCATTTTACTTACCACGAAGATCTTCATTTTTTTTTCTAATTCTTGTTAGAATAAAAATAAACGAATGATGGTGTCAAACGATAAACGTATCTTTTATACAACCGTTAAAACGGAATAGCAATAATTATTGCAAAACTCGAGCAGATTAACGGCAGAAATGATAATTTTATTTGTTAAATTGACATTCGTTGCAATATATGGATTTGTGGCAAATTAAAGCACCAACCGCACCCAAATCAGAAAACAGATCGCCCAATGACAAAAACCATAATTATTTGTCCTCTAACCATGTATATGTTGGAAGACACCTACGTTGACTTCATAATTATGAACTATTTAAATACAATTCACGTATTTTTTTTAAATGACCCTGAAATAATTTTCGCAACTGAATAATTAACAATAGTTTTTAAAAAAATATACGAAATTAACATATAAAATAATTATTCAGGACATACTACTTTGCACACACAAATAATCCATATACCCAGAATATATTGATTAACTGAGATAAAATATTTTTCTTCATCCCAAATAGTACGTGAATAACTTTCAATACTATTGGCTGAGACATTATGGCGCCATGTTTGTTTGTTTATTTCTCTATTTGTTAGCAATAGCTACCAAATAAAGAAATAAAACTAACAAAAAAAACTTTCTTTCACATATATAATATTAGTGAAAATGTATAACGAACCATGCAACTACTTGCCATTAACTGACAGTCATGCCTTTTTTGTAAGAATTTATCATCATCATCATATCAGCCTTTAACTGTCCACTGCTAAACATAGGCATTTTTCTTAGAAGGCATTGCCAGTAGTTACCACGATTGGCAGGCTGGTTAACAACCGCAGTTAGGCTTTCCATTCCCTTACTCGCCTCTTACGACATCCATGGAAAAGGAAGAAGTTGGTAAAACTACCCATATTTAATGAGAATTTCCAAAGGACCTGCCTTAACGGATGTTTATTTAGTTGCATTAGGAACAACTTGTAGGTATTCCTTAAGTACACACCTAAAATATCCTATTTTATAATGTAATGTAATAAATAAATTAACCTAAAGAATTACACAAGTAAAAGTTTAGTTATTCCAACTTTTTGGGATATTTAGTTTCTGTATATAATTATTTTTTTTTAATAAATTACAAAAATATATCCTAGTATAAGGTACATATTTATCATATATGCATGGGATTGTAAATTTTATTTGATCAATATATATATACATTTAATTTTTATAAATTTTACTTTGCAAAAGATACTTTTTTAATTACACAGTACTATCATCATACCTACTTATACAACAATTAGTCCATTACCTTAAGGTTGTCTTGAAAAGATTTCTCTCAGCATTAAGACCGCCTTACTGTACTTATACAATTGTGTCGTTGTGTTTGATTAAATTGTCTTGCTTATTTCCTATATTGTATAATGCAAATAAATAAGTATACTCATTCGTTCATTTTTTGGACTTTTTTTTAATTATAATTTATACAGTACTCTCAGTGCACGAGACGGACTCGAATTAGCCGATTTTTTAGAATTTCTCTTTACCTGTCTGAATATTTATTCAAGCATCACACAAGAACTGTTACACCAAATTGAATACGGTTTTCATAGTTATATTCCTGAAGATCTAACTTAGAATCTCGTGTATATATTATCTTGATACGCTATCTAAAAGTGATTACCTATCTACTAAAATATACTATATATAATAGAATAACATAATTAGCTAAAGCTAGTAGTAAAACTGTAAAAAGATGTATTAAAGTTAATAGATTTAGTTGCAGAAAAAAGTGAGAGATTAGTATACGTAATAATACTTTCCATAATCTGTCACTGCTGTGTTACATTAGATCACCTATAAATGTATTTTATCATCCCACTATCATTTTAATTTCATTATTTTGATTTCACTGCGATTTAATATATAAAGAATAATTGAGGAATATAAGTACTAAACATACCTATAGGGATAGGGATAGCGAATCTTTAGTTACTTTTAGTTTAGGTATACATATACATATATAATTTAATAATGATTTGTTCTCAAAATTTGTTGTAGTGTCAACACATATACATTTTTTAATTTATAATGCATAATATCTGAATCTAAAACAAAATTTGCTTAATAGATTCTCACTAATGGAGTGTTTTTCATATTCATAACTAAGTATGTATATCTGTCTATATTGAGCAAGATAAGACCTATCTATCTTGCTTAATCTAAATATTATAGTTTATATTAAATAAAAATGGCCAAGGACAAACAGACTCGGCCACTGCAGATTCCATATATATAAGTATGGTCAGCACGATAAGTCAATGAACACATTAAAATATATTTAAAAAAAAACTCTTTACAACGTGGCTTGTGGTCCCGACATAGAATGGGCAACCCCTTTCTTTCCCGTGGGTGCCGTAAGACGCCACAAAGGGAATTTAATGATCGAGGGATGGGCAGCAGCGTCTTTCTTTAAACATCATCAAAGCCTAACTACGGTTGCCAACCCACCTGCTAATCGTGGCAACTATGGCAAAACTTCCTAATAGCAAAGGCAGTGTATGTGGGAAGTGTAAGTTTAGTAAAGGGCAGTTAACAGCTAATATTAATGAATGAATATATTCGATTAATTGTGACGTTTTACCGTACAATGTTCACCAAATTTTGTCATAATTTGGTTAAGCGATTTACGTGCAACGGTGGTGCTTATGACTTTTAGTGCTGACTGGCACTCAGTTACAAAACCAACTGTTAAATAAATGATAGAAAAATATACAAACTTTAATCAACAAAAACTTTATTCAACCTTCATCATTTCAGTCATTAATTATTCACAGCTGTACTTAGGGCTCTCCAACTGCCACACGGAACGATCCAAAACTACCTACATATATGTGTATATGCACCTACTGTCTAATACTGCCAACACATTTGAGGTCATTGTTCGGTTATCCTATAGTTCGTTCGCCTGAACTCAGTCGCCACTTAAAAACACTTCTTCCCTGTCAATTATGGACGTTTTAAGCTACATGACCCACCCATTACCCTGAATAAAAATAACAACAATAAAGAGTAATTATAGCGCACGGCAGTATATCATGGGAAATCTGTGAAAATTTCCATTTGTATTTATTGGCACTTTCCAAAATTTTCCAACAATTTACATCGTGAAAAGGTATCTATAAATATTTTTTAACAAAAATGTTAATAACCTAAGTCACTAAAACAAAATAATCAAAAATATTTTGTCGGTTTGTCGGTCTGTGGAATTTACCAATCAAATAACAAATTTTGTGTCAATTTCATTGCAAAAAAGCCCATAAATAAAAAAATATGCAAAAATTATCACCATGTAAGTATATATAATGCTCAATGTTGATAAACAACATTGCTTAATAGGCTATGATAGTCGGTTTCTTATAATATTAATGTATAAAACATCTATTGAGGAATGTACAAAATTAAAATATATATTTAAATATTTGTAAAGTACATATTTATAGAATTTAGATAATAATTCTCCATATTTTTAATAATCTTGGATACCTGGCGGTGGTAGAAAATATTGTATATAATTGTAGTATATAATTATAGTAAGTACTATAAATCATAAATATTTCTTTATCGAACTTCATCGAATACATGCAGTACTGTAAAATTTTATACAGCTTAAGATTTTATTACTGCTAACCGGATTATATACTCACAAAAAAGCCTCCTACGCTATAAACGGATGTGTGAGTACCTCTTGGAAACCTCAGGTAAGACCATAAAACCTAAATTATCTCTTGATATCAAATTAAGAAAACAGTAAAAAGCAAACTTCTTTATAATCGTAAACATTCATAACAAAAATGCTCAATAATTATATCTCATTTCTACAGAACAAATAACTAAAATAAAAACATAAATGTTACTTATTTAACAAATCTACATTTCATTATCTATCTACATATATATATATATATATATATATATATATATATATATATATATATAAAAGAGAGCCACAGCCAATCTCTTTAAACTTTACAGATAGATTACAGGTAAGTAAAGAATAAGGAAAAATTTAAAAAAGTTCAACTTCTAAAAAAGGTAAACAAGGATTGAAAGTTTTTGTTAAATTTCGTCATTTAAAAGTTAGTCATGTGAAATTTTACATTTAGGTACTTAATTCAGAACCAAAATTAATACCCGTTTATTGTTTTTTAAAGAATTCACCCCTAAAGCTGTGAAACAGAGAATATAAGTTTATATGGGGCTTCTGTTAATTGAAGCTAGAAATACGAAACCTTAGTTTTAGACATTTGACTAGAAATAAATAAAATACTTTTCAGCATTTTTTAAATTTCAACCTTAGGAGGTGAAATGAGGAATGAAAATTTGTATAATCTATTATTTTTGAAGTTGTAAGTATAAAAATTTGTTTTTATGCTTTTGATTAAAACTAACATATTTTTCAGCAGTATTTTAAAATTTTACTCCAAAGGGGTTGAGACAGGGGATGATTTGATTTAGATGAAAGTTTGTATATAGGTAAATTTGTTAATTTTAAGTAAAGAAGGCGAAGTTTTATATTTAATCTCTTGCTAAGAAAAGATATAAGATGGAGTTTACAATATTAGAAACTCGCGGAGAATAGCTATAATTTATAAGACTAAGCGAAAAAGTGATAACCGCTGGAAATCGAATTACACATACAAGCAAGGTCGTGAGGGAAAGCTGGTATGTTATATAAAACGAAAAAATATTAGCTACAGATATATTTTACATCGCAAAAAAGCTATTTTCAAAAGCTATTTGACTTTGTACAAAAGTCGATTGCTTGGGTACCTCTGTATTCGTGTTTATGAAGCAGTTGTGTTTGCAAATATGGCGTGACTGGGTATAAAATACCTGATCTCTTTATGGGGGGTATCATGGGCGAAACAGATATATTGTCCATGGTACTGCTATGTCTATAGGCGACGGTTACCACTTTCCATCAGGTGGGCGTATGCCATTCTAAGTTCTATAAAAAAAAAAAAAAAAATTTCGATAATTACGAAATTGATATAAGCTAATAATCTCTTTAATCTAATTGTAACGTTTACTATTGCTTATCTCAAATAATCTTGAATATTAGTAATATACTTTTGAAACCGGCTCCGCAGTTATAATGTTTAAAGATATAAAATACATCAAAGCACGATGAGTTGTTTTAAAGACACGTGAAATCGCGCTTTATAAGTAGTTTTGTTTCTACCGTGAAGCAGTTGTGTTTGCATGGCTGTGTTTCGGTTTAAAGGGTGGGATATGGCGTGAATTTACAGGATACAGAGGAATAACACCTGAGTCCTCAGGAATGGCAACGCATGGGAGGTATCATGGATGCAACAGTATACTCTGTTATGTCCATGGTACTGCTCATGTCTATAGGCGACGGTTACCACTTTCCATCAGGTGGGCCGTCAGCTTGTTTACCATTCTAAGTTGTATAAAAAAAAGCCTTTGCACCATAACCAACAAGAATTTGCTCCGCAAGGTATAACAGCTGCAAATTACAAAATAATAAGAACAATTTTAACATACATAAAAAAGATTAGATGCGGATTAGACACCTAATCTAAGGAACAGATGTATTGAAAATCATCATTATTTGTAAGTCACGTAATGAAAACAACCGTCAAATAAAAATTTGCTAGAATTTATTATAAATTAGATTAAATAAAATTTTATTTTAATTAAAGAATAGTCATTGATTTATTGAATAGGTTCATCCGCAATCCGTATATATACTTCGTACTCAATTTTGAGATTATTTTTGTTACTGGAATTAGTGAATTGGGTGACGTTGTTAAGGATTTTTGTTCCTCTAAAACTATAAAAATTACCAATATTTTTGCCATTTCGCGACAGCATTTGAGGATTGTGCCTGAAAAATATAATAAAATATATTATTTATAATTAAAAAAATATTAATATTTAGTTTGCGTCTGATTTAGTTGTTTTTGACATTTTAGAATATTGTCTTTCAAAAGAGGTGTTCGTCGAAATAAATAATAATAATAATATTCTACCTATAAAATTCATGAAACAAAAGTTACAAATATTATAATACTGAGACTTGCATACAAATCGCCAGACATTAATAAATTATCATGGTCCTGTCCTTACATTTCAGTTAGAGAACCCTAAAAATATACTCAAACCTAATCATAACATTTAGCTACTCACCTAATTTTAGATCCACAAAGGAAAAGGTTATCGACCATTAATCTATTAAAATGTAAATTTGATGTCAAGTTATTTTTCAACATCTGGTAAATATAAGGGCCAATTTGACCAATCCTTTTAAAATTATAATAGAATATTTTTAAAACGAAAATGACAAAAATATATAAATAAAAAATATACTCATTACCGTAATCTCTAATGAACTAATCAGTGACTAAACATTTTTAATTAATTTTAGTTACTTGGCAATTTCAATAACATATTCCAGAAATTATTGAGTCATTAAAGTATTTTAAAGCGGACGGGATTTAAATTTGCGGAAACCTTCTAAGCATTTATGTTTTAAAAATATTTCTGTAGTCACAGTCATTTATCAATTATTATTGAAGTTACCATAATACCTAACATTTCACTAAGCACATTAATATCATAATTATACATAAACAAAAAAATATATTTGTCATATAATTGTTTAATACTTACTCAGAAGTATATCCCTCACTGTCACCTTTAGTATTTAAATATTTACATTTAATAGCAGTTTTCTTATCAGCAAATGTTTTGAAATAATGATTAATACTTCCTTCAGGCGTTTCACCAAATAGGTTATCAAATGAAACATATCGATCTATTAGTGCCTTTATCACTTTATGAAGATAAGGATACCTTTCGGCATATATTTTACGGCCAATGTATTCAATTTTTCCCGGCCTGTCAGATATATTGTTGTCTCTTGGATCACCAGGACCATTAGGACCATTTCCACCATAACCTCCATTTCCTCCAAAGCCTCCGACTCCACCATTAGGGCCTACTTCGTGAACATAAGGATAATCTGGATACAAGCCTTGCTTATAAACATAAGTGTACTTTCCTTCATCACCAGGTATGTATTTACCTTCATTTAACGGTCTATAATATTTTCCATCGTCATTACCATATTTCTTAGGATCATATTTTCCATCATCAAATGGTGAACACTTTATAACTGTAAATAATACGAAGGTTGCAATCTGAAATATAAAATTAACTAAATTTAAACATTCACTTAATAATTTATTTACCAAAATAATGCTGTTCACTTGAGTGAACAGCATTATTTTGGTAAATAAATTAATGAAATTTTTTTAATACACGCAGGACAGCGATACAGATAGGTAGGGAAAGAAAAAAGAATGTAGTTTGGATTGAACGACGGCTGAATCGTACATTGACATAACCCAAAGGATAAGCAAGCTGAAGTGGCAAAGGACTGGTCACATAGCTCGAAGAACCGACAACCAATGGGGAAGAAAAGTTCTTGAGTGGCGACAGCGTACGGGCAAACACAATGTAGGACGACCCCCTACTAGTTGGAGTGACGACCTGAAATGCATTGCAGGTGGCTCAGAACCGTTCTTAATGGCAGTCTATGGGGGAGGCTTATGTTCATCAATGGACGGATAATAACTAAAATGATGATGATGATAATGTCGAATCGAGTATTGTATAATAAATAAACATAAATACTACCCCATTCCTTCTATAATTAATACCTTGTTATAAGGATTTAAAAGTCCCTTAAAAAAAACATTTGTTTTATATAAAAGAAATAAATAAAATAAACTAACAAAGCGCCTGATTTTAAATCATGAAAATAAATTATTAGGTATCTAATCTCGATTATTGCGATTTTTATTTCACCTTATAAATCAAAATAGAACAATTATTTAATTATAATTGTTTAATCCTACTTCACTGTGCGGTAATTCATATGCTATAAATTACTCATATTTAAAATATATTAATCTATTTTTATATAGAATATACACATCTTAAAGAAAGTGTACGTCTAATCCCCAAAATATTAAGACTTACTTCCTAACTATGAAAGTACTAGCTTGTATTATTTTATATTTAATACCACATACAACAATAACAACCATTTTGTTTGTCACCTAAATCCAAATTATATGAAATTTTTAAATGTAATTTATGAAATTTAAATGCCTTATTTTTACTCTAATAAAACCACAAATGTAACCTTTGATATCTTCCTACCCATACCAAAAGGTTTATTGAACCAGAAAGGTTTATTCACGCCGTGACCTTTCGTTTAATAAAAAAAATGTAAAGTGCGAATATGCTTAATAAGATTTGTACAGTATGGTGAATATTTTTCCTTGAAGAGTTTTCTAATATTAATATCTTGATTCTCGATTTATTTTGCCATTACTAACGCAGGTCGTTTATTAAAATATTATGTAATAACTTATGTAGATAGACAGGTCTACAAAATTGCCAAAAATTTACGAAACAATGATACAAGGTTGTAAAAGAATGTCAGAGATGAGTTGTCAGTCAATTGCTTGATATGTTGTCTGTCCTCGATTACCTATCACTATATATATCTAAATCGGCATATGGAACGCTTGTTCTTCCTTTCTCAAATAGTTGTTTGCTTTTTCTTGTTTTATAAGTTTCTTGGGCAAAAATTGGTACAAAAATTCACTATTATTTTTTGTTTCAAATATATATTGATTATATTTCTTTAAATATATATTTCGTGATGTAAGTGAATTAAATATAACTAATATAAAATTGGATGTATATTTGTATGATTTGTGTCACTAATTCTTGCTTTTCTTTAACTATATCTAAGAGTTTAGAACTTTTAGTAAATCAAATTAATACGCGAACGTTTTAATAATAATTATCATATGATAATCATAATTAGCTATAAACAAATTATAAGATACTGAAATTACTTACAAAATTCACTACTTGCATGTTATTGTTATCCGCACCAAGTTATTTATCCAAAAATAATATCTGCAATTAGATCAAATGTATGAATTTACACAAACATGTTTTGCTCATAACAGCACCATGTATCCGTCAAAATCATCATATTCTCCATTGACATTTAATTAACATTTAGATGATGAATAAATTTGGACATACCAAAAGTGGAACAGAATCCTTAAATCAAGGTGTGACGAGGTCAAATAGAAGAATTAACATACTTTAAATGTTCGATTATTATTAATACAAAAGTCCGTGAGATTATTGCACTGTTTCACTGAGATATCGAAGAGAGGATAACCAATAACTTCGAGACGACCGACTTGTATGAGGGTCGTAATTTTCTCAGGAATGCATGCAGATTCACCTCACAATGTCGATTTGCATAAAACAAAAATGAACTTTAAAATGCAACAAAATAAGTAGGCGTACGCATTCCAACCTTCTTATTTTATTTACATTTATATTGAGACCATAACGAATATGACATAGAAAATAACATCCTTTAATAGCAAGTTCCAGAATCAACAAGTATAAACATTATAAAACGCATTCTGATATGAAAGATACTACCCATTGATTTTATAATTAGACAATATTATTTTCCAGTACTTATTATGTGTATTTAATAGTGGTGCATTATCATTGTAAACATGTGTATTTAGCATAATGTTTAAACTTTATGAAGAAATAATAGTAGGAAGAAATAAATTCATTTCAATATTAACAACTGATATAACAATGATACTTGGACTTACCAACTACCATATTATTTTACCGTGAAAAATGCAGGATATGGATTAACATATATTAGCATGAGAAGTCATGTATCTACATAACTAACCAAATAATCTAATGAACGTATCAAGCAAACTCGATTGAAAAGGACTATACATTTCCACAGTATTTTAACAAAAAGTTCTCATTATTATCTCGCTACATAAATTTTCAGAAAATTCATTCATAAATATTAATAATTAATATCGGTCAACAAACGCAATAAATCTATGAATAAATGAATGTATTTTTATTTACTAAATATCGGTGATTGCCAGTAGCAAATATTAAAAGTAATTACACTTGTTTAGCAATATGTACCGTTACATATGTTATGTATATGTTTTTTTTTTACAAGTACTAAAATAACACAATGTTAACAAATATGCTAACAAAATCGATTACTTTAAATTACACATATTAATAATAAGTTACATTATATTTTTATAGTACTAAATAAGGCTTTAGTCATAAATTACAATTATTTAATAAATCTTGTACAGAATAGAAACAATTATTAATTAGATAGTCAAATAGTTTTCTTTAAAATTGTGCGTAGATCAAACTATCAGACAATTTATTGTATATTTTAATAGCCGTATAATAACAATTTCTTTGAAACATGTTAAGTCACTGTGTCGGTATTTCTAATTTATTTTGAAGTCTTTAACTTCTATTTGTGGATTTAATTACAAAGAATACAATATGTTTTCAGACAAACAAGCAAATTTCATATATGTAAAGAGCTGGTAACGGCAATTTTTTTTTAAACAATGGTTTGCAACTATCCAGGAAATAAGCTCCATTGATCAAGCACATTGATTTGACACATTTCGTGTGCTGAATTTTTTTATAATATTTACAGAGTTTTCCTATAGCATTAAACCATAGCGTAAATTTGAAGCAACATATACATAATAATCTAACATTGCTGCTTTTTGGGAAGCCACCTTAAACAATTTAATACAAAAAAAAATAAATCAGTTTTTTTCTTAGGTTTTAAACGTATTTTTTCCAATTATTGAATTTATCTTATATATATTCCTAGATATTCCTAATTTCACAAAATTTATTTTTTTAATTAAAATATTTTATACTTTATATTCAGATTTATATGTTTACTATTGTATGTTTGAAATTGTATTGTATTTTACTTACGTTTATAGTCAAATTATTAGCTTCTAGCCAATAAACGGCTCTTAGTAATGCTTCGTTTATGTCATTTTCAAATGTTGATGCATTTTTACACTAAACAATGATGAATCTGCAAAAAGAATCATTTCATGATTTATCGTCTCTGGTAAATCATTTATGTATGAGTTTAATAGGAACAAAAGAGGCTCTAAAATGCTACCTTGAGAGACATCGCACGCATTACAAGGTTTGTATTCTGATTTGCTTATTATTTTATTTTTCCCGACAAAATGTTTAACTCTCGACTCGCTAACCAATCGTGTATTTTACCTCTAATTCAATAATTACACAGTTTATTTATGTTTAGTTTATAAGGAGAGGATATAGAGAATAAGGATAAAACATATTACTTGCCAATAATAATATAATTGTAACTAAATAAAAATAAAAAAAATTGAAGACATAACAATGCTTAATATTAAAATACCGGTGCAAATATAAAAAATTAAAGAGCAGTGAATAGATAAATGTCACACATTTTCCGTAATGGCAGTGTCACGTTAATCGACGTTCTACTGCTTCTTGTTCTTGTCTTATCGATTGTACCAATCATTGTTATTAATGTGATGCCCATGACCTGCCTACTCTTCTGTTCTCGCTGTCCCACCTACATCGAGATGAATATTACGAAGACAACTAAAGATGTTATTGTCATTAAATAATAGTAAAAAAAAACTTTAAAATGTTTGAAATATTCAGTGCCATGTAAATGACGTTAATAATATTACTATGCAAAATTTTATTAATGAAATACCAGTGACTACTACCCGGATCTCACAGCCCACACTGGCATGAAAATAGATATTATTTTTATACTTATTGATCTGAATGATTTACGTTACCAAATAATCTATAGTCCTTTACTTTATGACTTTGGTGGTGTAATGATTTAATAATTAATATGCTGACTCACCTTCTTTTCATTCGATACCTTCGATACAATACGTGTACATACATCATTTGATTTTGTATTGGATTTTTCTATTGTATTGGTATTTTATAATATATAAAATTGATGATTTAAAAGAGCTTGTAAACAAATCTATTTCTATTCTCTTTTGTCCTGCCCTGTCCTGTTCTGTTCTACTATGTTCACTCTTTTCTTTTCTATTCAGATACTTAAACTTATTGGATTTGAATGAAACTAATGTCACCTACCTACATACTACTTACATGCATTTTTACATAATAACTACTTAGAGGACTGAAAACAAGGCATTAAAAATAAAAAATAAAATGTTTTTACATTTCAAAATCTTTCCAAAAATGGTAGAATAAGAACATATGCCACACAATGCCTTCACAAATACTTTACATAACAAATATGTTAAATGTGTAAATTAGTTGATAATGTTTTATATTTAATATTATTTTACAATTATAATTCTTATATAAATGTATACATATATACAAATAATAAATTTTAACTATTCTTTCTGCATTTTAATGGTTATACTTTATAACTGAAAAGGATTCTTGTAACAGCCGTTAACTGTCCACTGCTGAACATAGCCTCTCCCATAAGGGGCATTTGCCCGTAGTTGCCACGCTTAGCATGCGGGTCGGCTACAACATTTTAACTTTTGGTGATATTTTAAGAAGTACACTAACCCATCCCTACACCATAAGCTCTGTTAGTCGCCTCTCATGACATCCACGGGAAAGAAAGGGGTGGCCTGCTCTATACCGGGACCCACACGGCTATTGAAAACAGTAACTTCTATTATAATTTCTTGAAACGTATCAAAATATCTACGATAGCTGTTTAATTTTTAGTCATTTTATTTTATTAAATCGTATCATAGCGTAGAATTCTGTTTTCGTTATTATCCAATGGTTATATAAATTATTAATGTGGCCAATTTTTCGTTACCATCAACTTCTTCTTTTTTTCATTACATGAAAATATTATTTATTTGTACGAGTACTTAAAACATTGTAAATTTCTTTTTAATAAGTATCATTTACTACCAATTTTACCAGAGAGAGACTTTGTGCAAAAGTTGACTACTTGGGTACCTCTGTCCCATTCGTGTTTCTACCGTGAAGCAGTTGTGTTTGCATGGCTATGGTTTGGGTTGAATGGTGAGATATGGCAGTGAATTTACTGGGTACAGAGGAATAACACCTGAGTCCTCAGGAATGGCAACACATGGTATTATGAGCGAAACAGTATACTCTGCTATATCCATGGTACTGCCCATGTCTATAGGCGATGGTTACCACTTTCCATCAGGTGGGTCGTCAGCTTGTTTACCATTCTAAGTTGTATAAAGAATAATCTAAACCAAACAATAAGTGAGCAAAATACACTACCCTCATATATAAATGTTACATAAATATGTTTTTACTGCTTTAATAAAGAAACGGTTCATAAAAGAGTTAAATTATATATGAAACCCATCGTTTTATAGAAAATTATATTCACTATAACATAATTATATTGGGAATTAATTAATCGAAAAATATTTAAATATATTATAAAAAATATTTGCACATTGTAACAAGATAAGTTTTTTACACAAAATCTCAAAATTATTATACAGATACTAAACCGAAATAGATCGTATTTGAAAAAAGAAAATGCTCATTTGATAGCTGATAATGTCAGTATACCACACCTAATTAATTAATTACTCAATTAATACATACATTCAAAAATAAAATTTTAAAAATCATATCGTAACCTGGAACATTTGCATATATGATTTTTATATATGGATATATAAATATAAACTAGGATGTATGATATGGTTTATATTTGTATCTTTATTCGCAAATGAATACACATGGATATGATTAAATAACAAACATCAAGAAACTTGAGAGCAAAACTCGGTGATCCTTGAACTTTTAATTAATGTTGCATCAACTTCGTATTATGATATAGACATATAATATAATATATTAACCCATTATGATAAAAACACCTATGTAATAATGAATTATTTACTATTCGTTGACCTATCTGCTAAGCAACACGTCTTTCCATTATTGATTAACATAACTCGATTTAAAATATAACTAGCTCGATAAATTTACCTAAAGATAAAACTGAAAACAAGTTGTCAATCAGATAATAGTGTTAATAATATCGCGAATGATGAGTGATGTCCTTGCTACTCTAAATTTAATACCTACCTTCATACCTCTATATCAATATATTTATCAATAAATTAAATTGTATATTTGGGTATTTTTAGGGTTCCGTACCTCTAATGGAGGAACGGACAGAACCCTAATAGGATCACTTCATTATCCGTGCATCCCGTCTATCCATCTGTCAAGACTATTTCCTTAGGAATGTGTGGAGTTATCAAGTTGAAATTAATATCTCATACTCAGGTCTTTAATCGCTAAAAGCAATGAAAAAATCAAGTTTCTAAATCGACGCAATCAAAAGATACGGTCGTTTATATCGCATATTTTGATATTCGCAAATTTGTGTTGACCTAAAATCATGAAATTTGGCAAGAAACAATGTCATATAGCACAAGTGAAGAAAAAAATCTGAAAACCGTAAATTTTTAGTTAAATCACGTAGAAAATGTTTTAATGATTTTGTACGAAAACCTCGTTGCGCGAGTCTAACTCGCACTTGCCCGGCTTTTTTTAATAATTACTGATCTAAATAATTCTTATTATTTCGTCTTGAAATACATAGATAATAGCAGAAGAAATCTTACCTATTATATTCAGTGTTTCATGAACATTGCAATTATTCTGCACGGACGAACGACCAAATAATCAGATTAACAATGGCAAATATTAGTTGGCAGGGTTTTTTATATTAAATTATTGATAAGTTGATAATGCTCAAATAATAATTAAAGTCGTATAAATAACAAGAACTTTATTTGTAACAAAATTAATATAAAAGTGAACCTCACAAATTTCAAGAAAAGTTTCGTAATCGGAACAGGGGGCCTACCATGAAATGAAATTCCGGAGTTTCGGACTCAATTTCGTGTTTTCGCTCATACCTAAATCGGTCCAGTAAATGGACCTTAACATTTCGTTCATCATAAATCCTACCATAAAAGTCCAAAGGAATAATATTTAAATATTTGTAATGTTTTTAAACGGTAAGTATTATACTCGTATAATTATAACATCAAATTTGTGTTTCGTTCGGTTCCGAAATTTCGGAAAACATTTATTGATAGGCCCTCTAAATTGGCGAATAAGTATATATTATAATGTAATTCACACACTAAAATACCATCGAATTATCTTCAATTTTAATTCCTTCTTCTATTTCAAAAGTTGTCTTTCTTTTATAAGCTTAAATTTTTTCGTACTACAAGTAATAAAATACCATTTATATAGAACACAAAGCCTTTTATTATATTTTATTAACTATAACTAATAAAAATACATTAATAGATCGGGAAGAATTTTATTACAACAGATATACTTATCATTACAGCAAATTTTCAAACTAGATTTAAGGTAAGTGGGCGCCGACAGGAACGAATCCGTTTTCGTCAGCAGTATAGTCCACTCTGTACGTCACACCATCGGGACCTACGTATTCATAGAATCCTTTGACTCTGATACCGTCGTTTTCGTTATCGATCCTTTCGACTTTGCCGTTCTCTTCAGCGAGAATTTTGTTTTCAGTTTCGTACAGGTAGTGATAACCATCGGGGAGTACGTCCTCTTCTTTACGGATGATGCCGTATTTGTAATCGTAGTTACCGCCAGATGAGGCTGATGAGTACGATGATGCTCCGCTTCCACGAGCTCCCGCGCCCGCTCCCACGCCCACCCTCGCGCTTGATCCCACACCTGCTCCTGCTCCCGCTCCTGAACTTGGGCGTGCGCCTGCACCCGCACCACCAAATACTGAGGACGCTGATGCTGAGGCGCCTACAGCAGAGCCACCGGCACGTCCCGCAGATCCTGCTCCTCCTCTGTTAAACAAAATTTTTATTACATTATTTTCTTTTCTTTTTTTATTTACATTAATATTAATACGTTTGCAAGTTATTAATTTAAGTATTATTATACTTTTTTCATAAAGCTACCGATTTAAATTACGTGAGTAATTTTAAATTAATTAAAGATTGTATTAATTAATTTACTTATTTAAATTTTATTAACTAATAAAATGCTATGTAAAAGTGAAAAATTAAATCTCATAGAATCCATAGTTTTAGTTGAGAGCAATATTTTAAATGTAAATGGAATAAATACTTAATTTGATAGTCGTGTTAGAGTGCCTAAAATTGCTCCGCAAACAATGACTATGAGAAGTATTATGCTCAGAACTTCACTATGTAGTACAATTTAAAATGAAAATAACTACAGAACTAAGCAAACTTCAACCGAGGAAAAAGATAGATTCTTAAGTACCTTGAATGCAATTTTTAATTATGAAGAGACTGCTTCAAAAATTTTTCAGGGAGTAGATACGAATAAATCCAAACCGTATTTTGTTGCAAAATATGGAGCAATTCAGTTCAGTAATGAAAAATGGATATATTGAAATTTGATTGAATTTAAATGATGATGATGACGATGGCTTAAAATATATATGTAATAAATAAACTGTATTACAAAATTAAAAATGTGTATTAGTTGTTATAATTAAACATCTAACATTATTTGTGGGTCTAAAGTAGGGATAAACTTAATGGTAGAGGGATGAGCAGCAGCGTCCCTCCTAAAACATCACCAAACATGGCAACTACTGGAAAAGCTCCCCCTATGGGTGAGGCAAAGTGAACATAATTCAGTAGTGGACAGTTAACGGCTGATATGATGATAAAGTATAAACTAAATTCAAAAAAAGGAGACAAAATAAGGAAAAAGTTCGAAAGAAGTTCTAAATTCGTTTTTCCAAGTGAACAACGAACTTAGTTAAATTACATATTATATCGATTTACTATTGAATTCTATCTTCATAATATCAGCCTAGAGGCTGATATTATGAAGATAGAATAGAAAAATAGATAGAACTGAATTGGCAACCGCAGTTACGCTTTGAAGATTTTTTAAGAAAGACTTACTTCGTTGCCTCTTACAACACCCATGGGAAAGGAATGGGTGGCCTATTTTATGCTGGGACTACAGGACTAGAATTACAGCTTAATTTGTATATAAATTTTAAATTCACAATCAGGACACAAAGTGACACGTTTGCAGGCAAATAGTAACTATATTTTATGGCGACGTGAGTTACACAAAAATGCAACCCATTGTGATGTATTGAAAATATGTGTAAAGAACGCAAAAGCTTAAAATTAAAAATACGTTGCACCACTTAAACTACGTAAATATCATATCCAGTAAACTGACTTCATACTATTCAATGATTATTTATTAAATAACGCTATGTAAGTCAAACCTACTTTTTATTTTATTATATATATATATATATATATATATATATATATATATATATATATATATATATATATATATATATATATATATATATATATATATATATATATATATATATAGTTTTATATGCGTACCTATAAAACTATACTTATGTCACATAAAAAATATATTGATTATTTTGATAACAATATAATTAAACTGTATAATATAAATAAATATATAGTATAACTACCATTCACATTCATGTGACAATTTAAAATAACGTAATTAATGATTTTGTATCGTATCACTCATTACATTAGGTGCAAGCTCTCATTTATATTAGTTACTAATCAAAATAAAAAAAAATGTGATCAAAAAGGTGTTGTATAAAGTAATAATAACTACAGTACTTATTATTTTTATTTTAGGAGATTTTATTTTTATTTAAATTTTAAAGAGACGACAATATCAAAGCGCTACTTCTATTCACAATTACTTCAGTCTCTTTAAAAAAACATTTAGTGGAAATATACGACAAAAATTTCTAAAGTAAAAAATGCTTGTCTAAATACCCTATCAGATACACACGATTCATCCCGGAAACCATTGTAACTAATTCTTGTTGAATCCATCACAATGAATTAACGGACCCGCTTGCATCCTCACCTATCACCACTCACTGGAGCCCCGCCAGCGTACACCGATAGCGCAAACAGATTTACTTTTCCATTATCATATATTATTGACATTGCATTTACTTATTTAGGATCATTATTTGTAACCGTCTGAGAAAATTTAGAAGCAATTTTAAATGAATCCCAATTTATACACACATTAAGATAGTTATGTATATATTAGCTGTTATTGGAATTAGCTTATCAATTGCCATTCTACAACCTAATTAATATATTACTGTTACTTCTACTATTAATATATTAAACTACTAAATATACATACTAAGATATTAAAAAGATATATAACTCCTAGAACGTTTATTCTGAAGTCAAATGTCTAAAATTTTCAACGTATTCAAAGTGCTAGACAAAAAATAACGTTTTTTAAGACCTACGCGGTTAAAGGATTCAAAATTAATAAACTAACGTGACTTTTTTTTGATTCCCTATAAGAATTTTAATGTAATATTATTTTACCTTATTAATAGAATAGTTACGAATATATCAAATGTGTAAAATTGCATCATGGTTATGTTTTTACATATTTGTTGTATACAACTATCAACACTTATTCCGCTTGAATTTCCTCTGTGACTGAATTATTAATATTGGGCATTTTATAATAATACATAATACATTGCAGCTTGTTTCTCATCATAATCGTACAGATTAATCCAAATATAACAGGAATGCGTTCCACGACCAAAAAAACAGACTTCTATTGTGGCAAAACCTACCAAAACAAAAAGTTTTTGATTTAAGAACTGAACTATTAAAACAATTTTGATAATATTTCTGTATAAGTACGTATATATTCTAAAATAGCCTAAGGGTATTCTTACAGATTGATCCCAAGTAGACCAATCTGTAGGTATATCCTTTCAGATAAAAAATAATTTCTTAATCGATTTACAACTGACGCAATTGTGAGGCAATAGACATAAAAATACGACCTAATTGAGAAGACCTTCTTTTAGAAGTCGGATGAAAAGATACAATACTGATAATAAAAACTATAAACTTAAAGTCGCTTAGCGTGCGAACAATGCTCGGAATTTATTTGAAACATCCGATTCAAAATTATACAAACAAGTGACTAAAACAGTTGATACAGCTGTAAGCATTGATGGACTGAACTAATAATGAAATTTTCAAATTTGTTGCATGACTGACTTTGAGTATTTATGCAAATGTGTTCTAGAATGGAGACCGCGCCCAGGAAAGCACAGTTTGGGTCTCCTCCTGGCGTGACGATGGCGCAAATTTGCTAATAATAATTTCATACGTAAAGTACAAGATAAAGTAAAACAATCTATATTTTACTAAATATCCACTACTCTGGACTGCTATGTGTTGGGGATGATGGCGATAAGGAGTGAAAAAGATATAACATGCTAGTGTTTGTCTTGGACTAAACCCATAAAGCAAATTTATGGCTTATTTTTAGCAAAAAAGGTCAAAACTGTTGTTATGAATTTGTTGTATCTACGTTTATTTTTACTTTGATTTAATACTTACACGTAGGGGTTAGCCTGATGGACGTAAGCACCACCAGGGCCGCCGGCGTCGCTGGAGCCAGTGTAGTAACCGCCACCAGTGCCGCGGTCACCACGGTCTCCGCTGTAATTTAATTAAAAACTAAATGTAATCTTTACAATATTAATATTAAACATATAATACAAAGTAAACCCCATTTTATTAAAACATATTACTTATAAAATTCATTCAAATTAATACAAATATTTCGCGTAATATATACCAGTACGATAAATACAGTATAATTGGTAACCCTTTAAAAAGTAGATAGATAAAGTAGGTAGGTAGGTCTACTAGCTATATTGATAAATATTTATTATAACTAAAATTATTTATCGTTAAAATTGTTTATCTGATGAAAAAAATAGAATTTCATAAATACATAATAAATTATTATACATATTTAGTGGCCTAGTTAGTAGTTTACAACCCTTGACTTATAGACCCCAAAGGTCATGAATTCGAATCTAGATAACATAATATAATATATCTAGCTAAGATAATAAAATTTCGTGATAAATGAAATATCTAACTAACTTTCTGTGACCTTAATAACATCTTGAATAATCTGAAATCAAATTCAGTTATTTATAGTGAAATATAAACTTATGGAATTATTGAAATATATTTTTTTCACCATAATAGCAATTGTACATAAATACCTCTGACTACCTCACCTGAAATTGCATCGTCTGCGTATTTCTTATCATTGAAAAAAATATGATTCCATTAAATAAAAATTTTAATTATGTAATTTATAATTACAATACATACTATCAACCAAAAATCGAAACTACAATCTACGAATTTATATCGTTGAGTTTGATTTTTTTTAATAATAGGTAAGTCAAAATGAAACCTACTTCTCAAGTCGCCTTATAGTATTTGTCATAATAATAAGCGTACGTTGTTAAGAGTATAAGTACAAAAAAATATGATTCGTAAATATTGAGTTCTCTGACACAACAATTATAGCATCTCAGTTAAAGAGTGACACTCTCTATGAGTAAAAGCTCTTCGTTATACATAGTACGATCTGATCTCAAATGATGTACATTTAGCGTTGCCAGATTAGGTATATTTTTCGCAGATTTTGGGTAAAAATATTGCTATTGGCGAAATTGTAAAAAAAATATTGGAAAATTTTTGGGAAAAAGTGTGAAGTGGGGAAACCGTATAGCGGCATATTAAATTTATGAATAAAAGTAGCAAAACAGATAAAAGAATAAGACACGAATGCTAAAAATGGAATCATATAGATACTCGTTCGCTTTTTGATTCATGGCGAAACGTAGTGAAAATCGATACAAGTTTGAGATTATAATTGACGGTAAGAGTACATCCATGTTCATGCCGTCTAACAGCTATATTTTTAAAGCGGTGTTTCGATTAGATTACTGATTAGGAAGGCATAACACCTTACTTCTACCGAACATGGAATGACGTAGTACGAGGAGTACCACAGAGGTCATGGAGTGATGCGAGCCATCTCTATAGGCAACGCATATCATTGTTCATACTTCAGTCCTTCTTTATTCGTTTGAGAAACATTGGTACGAGATATATTATATTAAGCATATGTAAATAGACTTGATAATCACGAAAAAAACTCAGCTTTTTTTCACAATAAATGTTACCGTTATGTAACCGATAATACTACTACACTTAAGACAACTGTAACGATACCCCATTTATTGGAATTCATAAAGTTGTTTAGGCTGTACCTTACGTAAAATTTCTGTACATATATACATATATCTGATAAATCTGTTAAAAACAAATGCAACAGCATTTAATTTCGATAACATTTTAAAACAATTCATATTCGTAGTGGATTAAAAACAAATGATTAGGTACTTACTTGTAAGCGCCAGAATTGTCAGGTACATAGCGGCCAGACTGGTCACGGCTGGGATCGTAACGACCTGAGTTATCGTAGGCTCCAGAGTTGTACTGGCCTGGGTTGTACGCTCCTGGGTTGTATTGACCAGCGTTATTATTACTATTATAAGGTCTCGCCGTAGCAGTTGCTGTAGCGGTTACACGTCTGGGAGCTGCCCTGAAACTATTAACAAATTCTATATGAAATATATACCCATAATCCGTTCTAGACTGTTCATTAATCTTATTTTGCCAAGGCAAAGATGGAATACATTGCAGACCACGATATAATAAAAATTCTAAATTAATAAAGAAACTACTAAATTCCCTTGAACAATAGCTCTGAATGTCCATGTAAAATAAAAATATATATGACGTCATGTCATATCGTGTAGTATTATTTTACAATAAAAAATCTATTCCATTATTTTTTAATATTTTTTTTATATCCGAATTAAGAATTTTTTAATTATAAAATTATTAGTGTCCATTATTATTATTTACTATCTGGTAACTTATAAATACAATTATTTATATAATCTCATATGAACTAGTGATACTGCATGTACTTTCGACATTAAGGACTCCACCATGGGAATTTCATAAAAATCTTTTTCAGATGCCTACGTTATAACAGGAACGCATTATATTATAATAAATCGTTACAATTTTGTTACAATTACGTATAGACTGGTTGTTCCCACTAGTTTCGTCTGCGGAAATCTATATATACCATTCCTATGATAATTTCTAATAATCCTTTCTTTTGCTAATTTATTTCACAATCTAAGTAAATTTTGTGTAAAATTTTCACCACCTGAAGATTCCATTCTTTTAGTAAGTTGTTCCATTTCTTCCTTTTATTATAGTTTTTAGACTATTTTGAATATCTGTACTTTGCGATATTTATTGTAAAAAATATAGAGTCAAGCCTAGAACCTCCTACCTTTTTTGACGTTGGTTAAAAATTTGTAATATTTATGTCTTATCTGAAGATTATGTATCATAGGTAACATAAGTAACGTAACTTTTGATTACAACTAGGTAATTGTTATAAAAAGTAAAGATGGACAAAAATAGTTTCCAGTAATAATTCTATCATTATCACTTAATTACAAATATAATTATAGAAGTAAGATTTTTATTTCATTATTTTGTGAAATTGCAATAATTTTGCAATCTCAGTTTTACTATAAATAAAATATATAGAATTTTATAAATCTAGGTATTCCCTAAAATCCATTTTTTTTATAACAAAGTTGATTTATACTAAGAAGCCTTGCAATTTTAAACAATAACTTATTGTTAAATAAGCATATTTTTGAAATTATGCTTAGGTATATTTTTAAAGTAAATTTAAAAAAATCATTATCCAGTATAAATACTATTAATAATAATATAATTATTACCTAGGGAATTCAGCTGCTAAAGCAACTGTCAGCGACAGACAAAGTACCTGAAAATAAATTTAAATAGTATTAAATCAATGAACACATGTAAAGAAAAGATCGCATTGTAAAAGTTTATTCATTTATCTATAAACTTTTGATAAAATGTATGTTCCATACTTTTCAATTTTGTTATTATTAAATTTTCTGAGATAATTTTTATTACCAACAATTAAAATGCCATATCTGACAATATTGTAACAAAAATCATACATATGACATAAACTTGACAGTTATATTATTCATAACTTATCATAATCGATTATAACACTATCATATTATATTATATATCATCACTTAATTTCTGTTGGCATTATGCTAATTGATGGCAAACTGTATGCAAATCACTTCACTGAAACACGTACTAGAACGTCACTTACCAAAAACTGACGCATTTTCGTAGTTATCTGTCGCGCTTAACTACCTGAATGTTCTCTGTTACAGATCAAAGCCTATTTATACCTTTTTTGACTAATTTTATATATTGAATTCTCGCGTTCGCATCGTCTCATTTATAATGTGGAGTCTGACGTTTATTCATTAGCATGAGCTTCTCAAACTTGTTAATTTTTATTCATCAATATCTGTTAGCAACTAGGAGTAAAAAAATTTTCGAATGATAGTCAACAACAATCACAATTACACTAACATCCAAAGTCTTCATAAACTTTCACAATGTAAGTGTTATCATTTGTCAAAAACAACAACTAAATTGGTAACTGTGGTACATCTTGCATTGCCATATTTTATAATGTAAGTCTCTCCTCCTACCCTGCACTAAAACTATTTCAATTTCTCTAGTGTGAATATTATACAAATAATAATTTATGTAATGGTGGCAGTAGTAGTCAATAAAAAACTATATTAATCTTTTTTCTAAATCATGGGGTATACTTATGTAGGAATCACCTGTCACGCCACCAAGCAACATACTACATTAAACCAATAAAAACATACATAAAAAATAGGTACAAATCCACTGAAATACCAACAGAAATTCTTATGTATTTATAACTCGGGACCTCAGTAAAATTCTATCCACAAAAATCATCTGTCTCACCAGGTTTTAAATGTTTAACGAAACATTTGGTATTGAATCACAACTAATGATACTGAACTTACTGGATACCGAGATTTAACGACTCAATCCTCATCAAGTGTCCTAGTATAGTCCAAAAGACTTTTTAATAGGTTCATCTTCAGCTTATTTTTAATTATTTAATTAATTCCAAGTTGAATAAAATACATTGCACATTTTAACAACATCAGAAATCTATTATAAATTTCTACTGTCTTTTATATTCCTATACTCCTTAACGAATATCTGATGAGTATCAGATACAATACTCCATTTTTATACAAATATAAATATATACTTGTATATATTTTAAATATAAATATACCATACCACTTAATATTTATACCAAAGAATATTTTAATTTGTTTTAAGACTAATAACTTTATCATTTTGGTAAGTAAACAAATTTGTTCTAATATATCTATTTATTAACACAGTTTGAGAATCTTTTTTATCAGCTAATTAATTACCATCTTCATAGGATGGACCGATTCTTACTTAGTATAGTATGTATAATAAATGAACCAACTCGTTCATATATTTACACGTTAGTGCAAAAGTTTTATAAGCAATATTAAATTTACAGAAAAATGTCTCACTAGATTCGAATTAGGAGTATTTATTTCTAATTTTGTAATTATCTTTTTTGGTTTTACATATGAAATGTAATGACTTAAACAACTAGTTCTTATTAAAGGCTACTTTCTTGTAGTTTGGATATCAAAAGACCAAAACAAATTGGATTTAGTATACTAAACATAAAAAATTATATCCTGTATAAGCTTTAAACTAATATACTTTTATTCAAAAATTTTAAATATATACTTAAAAAACGATAATAAGATAAAAAATATTATCGTTATTATAATATTTTCGGCGATGATAAATATTAAATAATTTAAATTTAAAAAGAAACTTTTCAACAATGCCTAATTTGTCGTAATACGATATTTTTTTATTATAATTTTAATAAGTAAGGAAGGCCAACAAAAAAGTAAATGTTTACCTAACTCTAATAACTCAATCGATAATACAAAAATAAAAATCCTGGCACCACGTAGACTTACAAAAAATTATTCCAAATTAAAATTAACATTTTCTCTTACTACACAATAGTGGTTAAAAATCTCTACTATAGCTTTATAACAATAGAGATATATATCATTTAGAAGAAATATTAAGCCATACCATAAAAATAAATAATCTTCTTATTTTTATGGCCTTACCTTTTTTATATACACAACTTTAATAAATTATTTTAAACTGATTTATTTATAAGAACTGGTTTATAAAACATATTTAAATATATTTTATTACCCTTAGATTAGATTATAAAAAATTTACTAGCTGTAAATACTCCTTATATCCGACTAACTATGCAACATGTAGTAAAATTTACTAGTGTTGGATATATCGGAATAGTCAAAAACAAAAAAAAAACTAAAGTTACACAAATTTCATTACCCCTAAACTTTGACAAACTTATGTAACTATAATGTTACAAAATCATCATAAACTCTATTATAACATTTTCGACCTTACTACAAAAATATTTAAAACACTATTTACTTTTCTGAATATCGACAATAAAAATGTTTTAGATTAATCACTTACACAGTATTTTGTTAAACACTGTACAAGTGATTAAATATTGTTTATATATTTATATATATCTAATGATGTTTATTTGTAACTTTAAGTTAAACATTTTTTTTTTTTATTTTCAACTAATTTAAAAAATGAAAAATTTCTCTATTCTGTGGTATTTTTTTACATTTATTAGCTCATAACTCCGTCAATTATAAACAATTTAGGAAATTCTTTTTTATCTGAACGGATATATTTTCAGATTGCTCTCATAAAAAAAAATATCAGTTCAGTAGTTTAGTTTTGAAATTACAATAATTGATTTAACAACGATTGAACTCCTTTTTTTATATAACACAATCTTAATACTTTATTAATAACATAGACTTTCTTTTGTTTTAACATTATTAGATGTTAGGCGCAATTTTTGTAGGAATGTGGTCATTATCTTTTACAGTATCACAGTATCGTATCATAATACAACATCATATAAAGTTTAATTTAATAGTATGAATATAAATAAAAAAGTAACTTTTAATTTGTCCACATAGAACTAAAGGAAATCTATAAGTGTGGTCACAAGTTTATATTTAGAGAGATACATGTTGTATTCTAATGTTTACCGGTCACTGTCACCAAGGCCATGTCAATATTTTCCCTGTTAACATAATCTGAACAATATTAAAAGATAATTTAATACATTCGTACAATCATCATTAATAACCGATAAGATACTCAGTATTATAAGATTATAATACCGAGTTTCTTAAGTATATATATACATCTTTCTCATCTTCTTACCCTTATCCCAATTATTATTTGGGGTCGGCGTAATATGTTTTTATCCACATATTACAAAAAGATTTGGCTTAGTTTTACGACCGGTCGCCTACCTGACGTCAACCCTCTTTGGGATATATATATATATATATATATATATATATATATATATATATATATGTGTGTGTGTGTATATATATGATTGCCATGCTTGACAAACAGATTGGCAACCGCAGTTAGGTTTTGGTGATATTTTAGCTAATATTAACGTAGAGGTATTTATCAATATTTAAATTGTCCAATAAAATGTGTGTATGTATTAATGATGTTAATTTATAAAACAGATTTTAACTTTTTTATTACTTATTTTATAAATGACAAGCTTCGATTCAAAGACGATGAACCTGACTCTGAGAGAAAACTTGTAATAAAAAATCGATCAATCGGGTCTTATCTCTTTATTATATGCACCTATTTTAAAAATATTTAGTAGTTGAAAAAATTAAGTTTCGTATCCTTGAGTAAGCTTCTATAGAATATATTCAGTATAATTTTTGTACTTCATTAAATATATCCTGAAATTTAATTCGTTACACAAATTCGTTACAAAATATAATTAAAGCAAGAAAAGTTGTTATTTTATAAAATTTCAAAACTTTTCTCTTAACTTAAATTGCAAGACATAAAAAACATGTTAATGGCTCTGAAACAGCTTAAAAACGGCAAAAAGCAGAAGCGCAGTAGTTCTGTTCTTCAAGAAGGACGACAATATCCTATTAAAAAACTATAAACCGATATCCCTTCTGAATCGCGACTACGTACTGTTTTTTAAAGGCTTAACCAATCGCCTTACTGGACAACATCCAGCCACCCGAACAAGCTAGTTTCAAAAAAGGCTTTAGCTCCATAGGCCCCGTACATACGCTACGGCAAATTGTACAGAAGACCGAAGAATATAATCTACCACTATGTCTTACTTTTATAGATTGTGAGAATGCCTTCGATTCAGTCGAGATATGGGCGGTATTACAGTCCCTCCAGCGGCACCAGATTGACTATAGGCATATCGAAGTGTTGAAATGTATGCAATAAAGCTACGATGTCGTTTCGAGGACAGAACCAGAATACGAACCCCATCCCAGTGGAGAAAGGTATAAGACAGGGTGCGTCATATCCCCAAAACTCTTCACAGCTACATTGGAAGATGATTTCAAACTCTTGGAGTAATAAAAATATGGTATAAACATCAATAGCGAATACATCACTCACCTTCGATTTACCGATGACATAGTAATCATAGCGAAATCCCTGGAGAATTTAAATACTATGTTCAATGATCTTAATGGTGCTTCTCAACAGGTAGGTCTCTATATGAATATGGATTAGACTAAAATCGTATTTAACGTCCATGTCAGACCTATACCGGCTACGATTAAGAACACTACGCACCGAAGTTGTCAATGAGTATGTATACCTGGGACAAATTGTCCGAATGGGTAAGTCCAACTTCAACTGAGAGGTTAACCGACGGATCCAACTCGGCTGGGCAGCTTTCGGAAAACTATGCCACATCTTTTCATCCAAAATACCTCAAAGTTTGAAAACGAAGTTTTTTAACCAGTGCGTGTTGCCAGTGATAACTTATCGAACCGAAACATGGTCCTACACGATTGCCCTTACGCAAAAACTTTAAATTACTCAGCTGGCTATGAAGAGGGCTATGCTCGAAGTTTCTTTGCATGATAGAATCCAAAACAAGGATATTCTCAAAAGAACCAAAATAACTGACATAGCCCAAAGGATAAGCAAGCTAAAGTGGCAATAGGCTGGTCACATAGCTCGAAAAACCGACAACCGATGGGGAAAAAAGGATATTGAGTGGCGACTTCGTACAGGCAAACGCAGTATAGGACGACTCCCCAATAGATGAAGTGACGACCTCAAATACATTGCAGGGAATCGGTGAATGCAGGTGGGATTGCAATGGCATTATGGCAATTTATGGAGGAGGCCTACATCCAGTAGTGGACGGACAAATAGCTAAAATGATGATGATGAT